AAAAGTGTATAATAGTTCTTGTGAAAGTAAATTAGATTTAAAGGTATGAAATTAATTGTATGTAACAATAATAAAAATTGTATTTATTTACTTTAAGGTAAAATATACTTATTTACTTGTGTCAATGAAATTATTCACTTATTATTATACCAAGTGTAATTAATATGGCTAATAAAATATACAGTATTCTAAGAGAAAATTTCCTTGTCTTCAGGTGGAAAAGTAAAATTTATTTTGGAGAAAATAAATTTCATGAAAACTGTCATTTTGCTCAGGTCTGCTACAGAACTTTGTTCTAAAATTATGTTGTTTTTGTACCATTTTATTTGTCTTTTAATACAGGAGTCTCCTCCAAACAACGCTCCATGATAGTTTCTTTGATTACATGGTAAAAATTTAAAAACTATTAAAAAAAATGTAAAATTTAGTTAATCACTCATACTAAAGTCCTTCGAACAATAGTCGATGCTCCTTTATATGGAACCAACAAATACCTACATCATGACCTCAACATCCCATTTGCCATAGACCTTATCCCAGAAAAATTCTCCAAATTTCACCAGAATCTTACGTATCATCCAAATCCTCTTGCACAATCCCTATCAAGCACCTCCCATCCCTATAATCCTCCAAGAAGGTTGAAACGGCAGTGGCCTCGCGATCTTTTGTAGATTGTATATATTGGAGTTCTGGCAATGGCCAGGTTCCGCACTCAAGACATGAGTGTATGTGGCTAAAGTGCTCTTGATCAATCTCCGCTGGCTTTAGTACCAGTGAAGCGGTTGAGAGAGTAGCGCAGGGTTCTCCTGGAGTTTCCTCGCTTTATTGTAAATAGTGTATATAGGTATGCATGTGTTTTTTTGCTTAGTTTTAATTTTCTTATTTTTAGTAGGTTATTTTATTTTATTTATTGTATATACTTTTTGATTATTATTTATTGTTATTTTGCTTCTATTTATTTTATATTTTTTGTACATATAGTGTGAATGTTATCCTACCTCACTATAACTAGTGTCCATGTGACAGATTGTTGTAATACTCAATAATAAAAAAATTACTCATACAAGAGGTTCCTACATTTATTGAACTTTTTTTTTTTCTCTTAGAAAGATCATTTCACAACTGTGTCATTTTTAAAACAAGAATTTCTTTTTTTTTCATTACAATCATTTAGTGGAGGTCTCAATTTGGCCTGCGGACCAAAAAGTTAGTAGACCCCTATTTTAATGTAAAAGTATAAATGTGAAATGCATAAATGCATTACATAAGCAGGAGAAAAAAAACTGATTCATCTGTCAAGTTCATCATAAATACAGTCAAATTACTTTTCCATGTTGTTAAAAACAATCTTCCATATCATAATGCAATTGAATGCAAGAAATTGTATTATATATCTATGGATTTTGTATTTTTTATTTTCAATCTTCCATATATGTGTACAAAATTGATTGATGATTATGATACAATAATTAAGTCTTAGTTTTATTTCAATAAACTTGTATTTTGTTCTATAACATCCTTTCCAAACAAATCTAAGTAATGAATATAACACAATTATTTTTAATAGATAGAATATTTTAGTTACTTCTTCAACCATATTTGAAATAAGAGAATAATGAAATATAATATGCATGATCATCTTCTAAGTAAATTATTATATTAAGTTCAAAATATTATCCTCAAAAATAAAATTACTGTATTGTATTCATGAAAATTATAAGTAATAGTAATAAAAAACGATAGCTTTATTTCTGAAGTATTAACGCAACAGTGAACTATATAATATTTAATTCTCAGCTCATTAAATCATTTATTAAAAGTACTTAAATCACATTAAAAATATATACTATAATTTATATCAGAAATACAAAAAAGGATTTTCCACTAGTCAAATACTTACTTCTTGACTGACTTTTAAATATATTTTTTTGTTTTAAATTTGATATAGAAAGAATATTTCCATATATTATTTATTTTATTTTATTCTATTTCTAAATATGATGTGAATGCACTATTTTCTCCCTATGTGAGAGAATGTTATAATTACATAATAAAATAGTTTGGGCGTAAACAAAAATATTTTCTTTGACAACCCAGCAATATTTAAAATTGTACACTTCTAACAATGCACTACATTGTGAGCTTTATAACTTTTTCAACTGATGTAATTTTTTTTCCCAAACATTTTAAAGGAATTCCAATATTATCTACTTTTCGATTTGTAATAGGGGATCATTTAATTATATCAAGAAAAACAAATTTATTGCCAAAATGACTATGCTGCTGACAAGACTTCTTTGATATATTCAATCAATTCGTTAAACAATACATTTTCAGCAATGGTATAATTTAAAAGGTTCCAGCCCTTCATGTTTTGAATAATATATAAATAGAGAAGTGATGTATCTATGTATGTCCTGGTAACTTGTGCAAATTCACTCACTTCCATTAATCATAATGTACTGTTCATCATAAACGTTTGAGGTGAAATATGTCTCCTTTCCACAATTACATGAGAGAAAATGTCAGAGCCACTGTCATGTTGTAAGTTGTACGATAGTTTGACAATTTTTTATGTAGAACTGCACAGACTATGTGTGAAAGTTGAGAGTACTGTCACATGGATGAAATCCTGTAGATGTGTAGACTCCTAGTAGTGAACCATCATAGCTTATCTAACCTAATTTAAAGTAATGATTGAATGGGAAAAAATATTGTTCTGGTTTATTGTTGTGTTACTTTTATTTCTGAATTGATTCTATACACAACCATGTCAATTCCTGAAGGAATAAACTAATATAATTTAGTTCTTTAGCATTTAATATTGTTTTTCCTAATTTGATAATTAGTTTTTTACAAGTTAACAATTGACTATTGAAATTAAGTTTCTAAATTATTTTTAAAAATTAGTTGTCTTGATTAAAATAATCATGACATCAGCTATTCTAAATCTATAATTTTTTCCAACTGTCTGAGGCTTTATCTACGCCATGTACTCTTGCTGTCTCACTGTCTTCACACACTACCATGACGATAATTATGTCATTATGTCGATGTCATTTTCAAAACAAGAAAAATGGTCAACCTTAAAAACCTTTAAATGTTCTCAATTCCACCACTTTTTTTTTTTTTACCTTGAGCTTGAGGTCAGTAAAATTTTTTCTCTCAGAAGAAACTTCAAAATAATTTCAGCCCACATATTTACACAATGACATTATATGTAACTCCTCATTTTATGTGTTTTGCTTATTATATTTAAAAAATTGATTAAACTATGCTCAGATTTGGCTTTCATCGATACAAATTGTTCCTTTTTTTTTTTAATTTCTCTAAAAATGGTAATGTTTTCTCCCAAGCGGAAACCCTGGTTCTCAAGTACACCAAATTAGGTATGTATTAATCATGCAGTAATAATAATAAGATTAAAAAAGGCAACTTAAAGAAATTCAATAGTGAGACACTTTCCTTGTCAAAAAATGTTTGTCAGACAGTTAGAAGTCAACGATTATACAATTATTAAAAAAAAAAAAAAAAAAAAAACAGATATTGGTTAATCATATTTTTTAAAAATATTATTAAAGGTTTTTTTTTTTTTTTTTTTTTTTTTTTTTTTTTTTTTTTTTTTTTTTTGCCACGCCATATCTTCTTTATAATAATTGAGCCATCATTTTGAAGATTTTCTCCTTTTGGATGGAAAAATAGTAACATCTCTCCAAAATTCCAGAGAAAAACTTAAGAAGAAAAATAAATTCTATTTACTACTACAATATTAAATATCTACATAGCTTACTAAATTCCTTACACAATGGAAAAAAGAAAAAAATTGGACAACTATTAGCTAAGTTAAAAAATAATATGATTTGCACACGTTTTGGTCTATTATTATCAATGTAACATTCTAATAAACGAAGGAAAAGAAAAGTAATTCTTCAATTTCACAATGCATTGCATTAATTATATTTCCATAGTCCTTTGTTCACTGACTAATATACTTGCCAAATAGTTAATATTTTATTTCTATAATCATGGTAATGGTGATAAAAAACATTTGATATATGCTGGCAGCAACTTTACAGGCCTTCAATTACCTTCCCCGTTAAGATTTTTTTTTTTTTAATCACATTGGGTGATAATTTCAATATGTTTCCGCCTATCCACATGAAAATTAGTAGCCACATAGACTACACAAAAACGGACTACCGTAAACATATTAAAACTGGAGATATAAAATAAGAACATGTATTTATTTATTCCTTACGGAGGTATTAAATAAATGTTATTTATATGGTTTTGAAGAGCAATAACTCATCTTACCAATGGCTATAGTAACATCGATTAGAAGAAAATATTGAGGAGTTAGGAATACTTTTATTTGAAAGATTACTAAAGTTCCAACAAAAAAAAAAATTATTGAATTTAGACCATTACTAGCCCAATTCGTTGATATTTTAATTCGTTAATATTTTGGTTTAAAACATGAATGTTTTATAATAATCTTTTTCTTTTCTTGGTCGATTACAATTACCGAAAAAATAGGAAATGATTCCTCCATCTTATGATTTCTTAGAAATATTTCATTTTCTTATTCTTTACTTTAGCCATTTATTCAGTGATCAATATTCTTTGTTTACCATTCGCACAGGACAACTAGTTTATTTAAATTAGAAAATTATATGAATTTTAAATAAAAACATTAATGATAAACAATTGAGTGTAAGTTGTTAACCAATAATGATTTCATTTCAACAACATATATATTATTTATAACATATAATCTAATAACAGAATAAAAACATATTTCTAATTAATTAAATGCTATATAGAATAATTCATGTTAATAAAACAAAACTCTAATGAACAAGAAATAAAGTCATATATTTATAAAATAAATTGTACACAGATATTACACATTTCTAGCCTAATAATTTGAAAATTATAAATTTTATACAATTATATAAACACATATTCATCATCAATTTAACATACTAAATATGTAATATAGCAAACATATATATATATATATTGAAGGATAAAACACTTGAAATAACAATAATTTTTCTTCTATTTGAAATAGAATATTTCAATAAAACAATACTTGGGTAAATGATGCTCAATAGCATCAATGAAAATAGTTTTTTTTTTTTAATAAAAACATTACCCATAGCAAAAGGATAACATTAAAATAAAATACATTTTATCAATATGTATTTTAAATAACTGAATAAAAATAATAAAACTTAATAGATGGATGCATGGGCATAAATAGCTCATCGTTTGATAGAAATTAAAAAAAATAAATACTTAACAATAATCATATTTACAGGTACTTTAAAATAAAATATTAAATTAAAAAAATAATTTTATTTACAATGAAAAATAAAGACAGACATCTAGTCTGTTTCCAAAAATGATATATGAACAGACTACCTCTCACTGCGTTTAGGAGAAGGTTGTTTTTTAGGAATTTCAGATTTACTGCCAAAATTGCCTTTTAAAAATTCTGGAAGAACATTATCTTCCTTACTATCAGAATTCAATTTTAAAGACTTGTCTTGCATTATGCCTGAAGAAACAACAAGATTATTGTCGTGTACCAGCTGGAAGGTCAAATGGCCAGAAGTGGTGGGAATCGCTGAACTGTCACTCAAGAATACAGTATTTCCCGGTACATCAACATCATCGGTCAGTAGAGGCATAGAAGGTTGCTGAATATCGGCTTTCTTCGTTATATTGGTAATTGGGATAATATGAGAAACACTGGATTGTGGGGTAATAGATGAAGGAACTTCTAAAGGCGTCATTATTGGAGGCTGATTCAAGGTTAAAGAAGTCTCCAAAACGGTGTTAGACAGTGATGGAGCTTGAAATTGTTGGTCGACATAGACAGTATTTTCATTGTCAACAATATCCGTAGTTTCTGACTGTAAAACTTGAGTATTAGCCAAAGCCTTGGCAAGGATATCCTGACTCGGAACATGGGTGCTGCTAGAAGTTGCAGTATCATTGGAAATGTTGACGAAATTAGCTGTGCCATCTATTGAAAAAATTATATTATCTATATTTCCTGAACTAGATGTAGAAGTTACGTAAATATTTTGGTTATCATTTTCAACAGGTATACCAGAATTTTCAACAGTATATTGGCTATTATCGACTAAATATAACATCTTGACTGGCTCTGAGGATGAGTGAGAACCAATACTCTGAACTATTGGTAGATTATTAACAGTAACTACTTCTGATTGCTGCTGAACTGAAGATGGAATAGTTAAAAGCTGTGGTTTTTTAATAACCTGCTGTCGAGCAACTTTCCTTTGTGTTTTTTGTAAAATATTGGGGCTGACCGGTTTGTTCTTGACAGTCTGTTTTTTGTTTTCGCTCAGGGCACTTGTTGATTGAACAACTTTTGGTGGTAGAACAGTTTCTGCCTGTTGAAAGACAGTACCTGGTGCTTTGACAACCTGTGCTGCCCTAACTACTTTTGTCCCCGTGACCTGCATTGCAGTAGTGCCAGTTTTCAATTGTTGGGAAGATAGTAGGACATTTCTTCCAACTTGCCTGTTTACAATTGTCTTTGGAGAATTTACAAGAAGCGTGGAAGTGTTTTTATTACAAATTATAGGTTTTTGTGCAACTTTTTGAATGACTTGCCCAATTACTGACTTTGGGATTACTTTTGTAGTTGTAGGAAAACCTTGTTTACCAACTACTATAGATTTAGTAGTAACTTTCTTTTGTATTGAACCTTTTGAAACCATTTGAGGATTCGTAGTCAAGATTCTAGTACCTGGTTGTAGTTTACCTGCTTGGGCGAAAATGCTGCTTTGTTGTTGAGGAATCAGAAGTTTACCAGGAGCACCTGATGCAGATTTGATAAAAAGTATTTTAGGTTGCTGAACTTGTGAAGTAGTTTTAGCGGGTTGTTTACTGAGAGTGTATCTGGTCGAGCTACCAGATGTCGCACTGGCAGAAATCTTATTTGAACTATTGGCTCCATTTTTATTTTTTGGAGGAGGTAAGGGTATTTTCTTTACACCTGGAATTGGTGGTAAATTGGGTGGAGGAGGAGATACAGTTAATAACCGCCTTGGGCTTTGGAAATCTTCAGGCTCCTCTTCCCCACTATTCCTAATATAAAGCCTTACTACATCCGCATTAGGTAATGGTTCAATATGGCCTTCCATTATTTCCATTATGGGATCTTGGTCTATAACAATTGGCATTGAGTTAATATCAAAAGGGATTTGATCTGTTGGAGTGCCTGAAGAAGTACTTGGTTCAACTTTGGCAGACTTATCATCTTTTACAGAACTAGTAACAACTTGAATTTTCATCGTATTACCAATAGGAATTTGATTAAGTTCATTTTTTTTATCACTAGTTTCTGTTTCTTTAAGTGACTTTTCATCATCTTCATTTGATGATTTAGCTTCAGATATGGAAATTTTTTCAGTGCTCAGTAAAACTTCATCCTGCTTGCTAATGCACTGTTCTTCCTCTGCTTTAGAAGTTGCAATTTCTTCACGGCTATCTACATCCACCTCCATTGGTATTGAATCTTCAACATTATTTGAAACCTCTTCTTCGACAAAAGAATCCTTGATATCCTTTTCGCTTTCAGAAATATTCTCGGAAATCTCATTTGTTTTTTCTTTGCTCAATGTTGATCCTACTGTTGTTGATTGTAGAGCAATATCTGCCTCATCAACCTCATTATTTATAATTGATTGAAAATCATTTTCATTGGAACTTGTTTTGGATTCATTCCTAGAAATATCCTCCTGACTTACAATATCTTTTGACGAACATGCTTCTTGTGTTAAATGTTCTTTTTCTTCAAAATCCTTTGAGTCTGATGTTTTGATATCGGGTATATTTTCAGAAATAGATACATTCAATGCTGAAATACTTTCTTCAGAAGAATTAGAACTGTTTTTTTCTCCTAGTGGTTTTTGCTCTTCAATTTTTTTTTTAATTGGTTCACTAGGAGAATCAACAACTGAATCATTCTTAGAATCTGCAAATGTTTCTGGAATTGTAGATGCAGATTCCACAGTTGTTTCGGAAGAAGTCACGGACTGTATCATAGAACTTGAATCCTCTGACTCTATTTCGATCTCTTTAGAAGAATCTTTGTCAATAGGTTCATTTGACGAGTCATTTCTCTCAATAATATCTTGTACAGGTTCCGAGGAATCTTCATTAAATGACTTTGGTAAGTTTGTTTTGGGAATTCCTGGAAGTTTGGGAACCTCAGTACTTTTCAGCAAATTTTCAATTTCTTCACTAAAATCTTCATTCATAGGTTCTTCTTTAGTCGAGGGTGATTCTTTAGATTCCTTAAGTTCTTTTAACAATCTCTGAACGTTTGGCTTTTCCTCAGCAATGACTCTTGGCAGTTTCTGCCCAAATTTCAAAGACTTATTCAAGTTTAGAGATTCATCATTGTCTTCAAAGTCAAAGCAACACTTTTCTTTGGATACAGGTGACTTATGCTCTTGAGGAGGTTGCTGCGGTTGCTCATTCTCTGACAAACTATCAGAAATACTTTTAGACGTATCTTTAACATCATCAATTTCAACTACTTCTGAATCAGTCAATTTGATTTCCACCTCTTCTTCCAAATCATCTTCCCAATCTTTCAGAATATCTAATGCCTCAGGCTCTTTTACGGTGCCAGATTTTGTGTCTTTAGACTTGCGTGGTCGCTTTTTAGGAGTAGCAGCTGAACCTACAATGTCTTTAACAGGGATGGCCATCGATGATCCAGGAGTTGGTACTGTTTTCTCTTTCTTAGTAAGATCATATTTTCGTTTTTTTAGAGGAGTAGAGTCTTCAACAGATTTCCTCTTAACAGAAGCTTTTTCTGAAGCATATTTCAGGCCCGCATTTGGCGTGCTAGAGATACCGTCTTTATGTTTAAAAAAATTACTTTGAAAGATCTTGCAATAATTCTGTGGAATTTGAGTAGGAAGTGGTAAAATCAACCCTCTGTAGTGTGATCTATAGTGCTCAACAATCACACCCATTCGACAACAGGAATAGTTGCAAAAAATACAACGATACCGTTTTGACGAAAATTTATTGGAATCATTTTCTTTGTCAAAATTTTCCCCTTTCACAATCCCAGCAGCAACTCTTTTCACTGCTATCATTCTCTTAATAGGATTAGAAAATGATTTTGTGGAATTGGAAATCTTCATTTCTGGAGTTCTTGAAGTTGAAGGTGCTGATATAGGGGTAGAAAACTTCACTCTTGATTGTTTGGGTGTTTCAGTATCAGAGCTATTATGCTTTGAACCTAAACTTGACTTTTTACGAGGCTTTAAGCCGAATTGTTCTCTGTAATCAAATTTTTCTTCTGGAAGGTATTTTGGGTCATTTATAATATCGGGGTTTCCTCCAGTCAAAATTTCAGCTTTTTTAATATCTAATGGAAATTTTTTCATATTTTCCGAAACTTCTCTGTATCCACTGGGACGACACAAATCTAAAAAGAATTTAAACAAATTATATATACAGTATAAAAAAGAAATACTTATATAAAAAATTAAATTATATTATAATTTTAACATTAAGATCATAAAAGAAATGGAAGTTATTCCAGTAATACTATGAATATCTTCTATTTCCCCTATGTCCCCTTTATATATTGTAATGTAAATATTACGTAGTGATTTTGAAAAGTGGTGCGAAGGTAGTGACGTCACGAACTACTACCAAAAATGGACAAAGAATGACAGATGGAGGGGGAAGAGTTCCAGATGAAAGAGAAGGTAGAGATCGAGATCACAAATAGTGACATGTGACCAACAAGTAGTGAGGGTCACTAAAGAAGAACAAGAGAAGATTGTAGAAGTTGGATACAACAATACAGATGAAGATTCACTGCGGAACAGGGTGAGTGAAGCATAAGAATAGACAGTTCAAAAGCGCACCAAGAGTAGACCCCGATAAACAATGGAAATTCATAAATAAATTATATAAAATTAATGTATGCCGTTGCATTATATATTTGAGGAATGTGTGTAAGTAGTCTCAAGCCAACCTGAGAAATAAATATCATTTTATTCACAAACCGTTTTGTTTACTTTTCGAAGGGAACGTAACCTTACAATATTATCGCATGGATTTAATCGATGTTCAACAATATCTAAAAATTTGAAATATTTGACATTAATATTGTCTAAAGACTTACTTGGAACATACATACGAAATTAAAAAGACAAGAACTTACTAGACAATATAGCCAACTTTCGCATCTTCTGGACTACAGATCTTCACTTAACTTACGAAACAAGCGACTGATCTACAACACCTTACTGAGACCAATATGGACATATGGAGCAGAACTTTGGGGTTCAGCAAAACAAACACACATAAACAAAATACAAACAGCACAGTCAAAAATGTTACGAAAAATTGTTAACGCACCTTGGTACATTTCAAGTACTACTTTACATAACACCCCAACAGTAAAATCCTACATCCACGACAAATACACTACATTTCATTCTTCAACCCAAAATCACTCCAATCCTCTGGTTCTTTCTATCTCCTGCTCCCTGTTACCCGAACAACGTAGATTAAAAAGAAAATGGCCAAAAGACCTACTATACCAAAAAAAACCATATCAAGCAAATTCACCAAGACAATACAAACACAACAAATTTGCTAGATGCACAACCGCAAATTGCATAAAATTAAAAAAAATATTGTCTAATAAAACTATTAAAAAAGTACAATTTTTTTGTACAAAATTATTTTGACTTGGTGAACGTTAAATGCTAAACTCAGTAGCAATCGTAGCCTATACACATCTATACATTCGAACCCCTTCAAATCCAACATAACTATCTCACGGATGCTTAATAATTGCTGAAGTGATGACTATATTATTAATAATTCCTTCACTTTAAACTTTATAAACCTATTTAAATCGCACAGAGGTCGTTACTTCAATTATAGTCATACATATCCTGCGATTGCATTATCTTTCTGGGAGCTAGGGGGAGGGGAGGAGCAAATAACTTATGGAACAACTAAATTCTTAATTTTCCTTAAAGTAAGGAGCTTTATTTTATAACCAACACAAACTGAAGGAAAAATAATACTCAATTAAATTCTTATTATCAAGTTTCTAGATAGAAAACAGAAACAGTAGTTTTCCTAGAAATAAATAAGAAATATTTTCCAACTTTAAGCTTTCTTTAATTACTTTATTAGTAATAAGCAACTTAAAAGGGCACCCAACATACCAGACTCATATATACTTTTAGCTTGCTCTGAGTCTCTTTTACTCATTTATTTCAAAACTCTTCTATAATTTTTTTGAAACATGTGGTAGAATCTTTATAATGAATGTTTCAATAAACCTACAGAGGTACTAGATTTGTCATTGAATTTTCTTGATTAACTGATAAAAAATGAACAATTTTACATCCAAAAAATTCATATTTTTGACACAACACGACTCATTTTTTAAGAGTAACCTGTACCACTACAGCCCATAAAAGGTCTTCGGGTTCAGTATTTTTTAGGGAAAGTACTGTTTTAAGGGCAATGGTTTTGCAGGGAGGAGATTGGGGCCAGGACACGCTCAACCTCCAGGTTTTTTCCCTTAATTAATTATATAATGAAGAGAAGAATAGTTGGGGTGGTCAGTCAAATAAGAAGGCAAAAATAAATGATAATATTTATTTTGACATTCGCCGACGTTTCGACCTGAAGTTCAGGCCTTCATCAGGGCTAAGAAAAGAACCAGATAACAAGGTATGAGAAACATAAGTAGTTTATATAAAAAAATTAAAGTAAAATGAAGTTGTTAGAACAATGACAATAGTAAGAACTAACAGATAAATAATAATAACCGTTACAAAGTGTGGAATGATGAAATAAACATGATCAAAAAAGGTGACATAAGTATTAAAATGGGAATCTTAGAATAAAATGTAAAACAGAAAAAAGGAATATGAAGTTATATAAGATATGAAAATAAATAGTAAAATTAAGACATTGCGAATAGAGTAGTTAGATAGAAAATTGAGATATTGTAAAGTCTATCAAGATGTACAGACAATGTATAATATAATAAAGAGTTAAAACAGAGGACCGGAATGAAAGGAAGGAGGGAAGAAACTGAGAAAGCTGAAATAAGAAAGAGATAAAAGGAAAGAGTAACTGTCTCAAGTACCTCTATTTATATTATACATTGTCTGTACATCTTGATAGACTTTACAATATCTCAATTTTCTATCTAACTACTCCATTCTCAATGTCTTAATTTTACTATTTATTTTCATTTCTTATATAACTTCATATTCCTTTTTTCTGTTTTACATTTTATTCTAAGATTCCCATTTTAATACTTATGTCACCTTTTTTGATCATGTTTACTTCATCATTCCACACTTTGTAACGGTTATTATTATTTATCTGTTAGTTCTTACTATTGTCATTATTCTAACAACTTCATTTTACTTTAATTTTTTTACCTACACTACTTATGTTTCTAATACCTTCTTATCTGGTTCTTTTCTTAGCCCTAATGAAGGTCTGAACTTCAGGTCGAAACGTTGGCCAATGTCAAAATAAATATTATCATTTATTTTTGCCTTCTTATTTGACTGATCACCCCAACTATTCTTCTCTTTATTATTCACGACAGTCAACCATTTTACTCACAATTAATTATATAATTATGGGTACCCATTTGGTAGAGGCTGGGTGTGCCCCAGGAGGGTTCTCTACACCTTGCAGCCAATGAAACAGAATAAATACATTTTCTGCCATGAGCCCGGATTCCAACCTGGAACCTTGGGTAATGGAAGCTTAGTGCCCTAAAATTGAGCTCCCTCACTCCCTTTTAAGAGTAACACATTTAAAATTTTCAAAACTTTTTAATGTTATTTCAACAAAACAGAAACAACAAAAATCCATTGGACCAAAAAAATTTTGTTTCAAAAAAACCCTGTAGCATAAATTAGTTATACATCTAACAAAAACAACTGGTCCTAACGCTGTGTCCAAAATTCATAAATAGATTTTCATTAATAACTAATAAATCGTAAATAAATACTTCACTTTGGTGCTACCTCAGTAATTTAACCTAATTTAATTGCTGAAAAGTTTGGGTTACAGAGAGTGTTTGGGAAAACTTAATACAATTGAAGTTTAAAACAATAAATATGAACAAATTTGTCAACTGGATATATATGCTGGAAACGTGTTATAATATAGTGATAAGAAACATATCAAAACAGCTCCATATTACCATTACCTTGTCATATTTATAGGCAAGCACGAAAACTTGACAAGATTCCTTTAAAAATTCCAATAATGATACAGAAAAAATCAAAACAGCTCCATCATACTTACAGAAATTTAAAAGGTGTTTTTAGGCTATACTAAACAAGATTCCATTTTGATCATAGAACGACTAACAGAACACCAGTGGAAATTCTGTCTACAAAACAATTATTAACTAGTCTCAGTATGATGAAGCCAAATCAATCATGAGATATAGAAGTCACTTTATCTACTCAGAAGAAGCTGAGTTACAGCAGGACTCGTTGGAAGTATTCATGCAGGTCAGACCATTTGGGTAAAGAAAAATCATACGAAAAGATAGAAATATATAGTTAATGTAGAAGGGAAAATACTAAAAAGAGATACTAAAAAAAGCAACTTCATGAACGTACAACGTCAAGAAGAAAAACTATTTTTAGAAGGGAAGATGTCATCCAATATAATTGATACATTTTATTTACTTTAAATCTTTTAATTTAAAACACACTTTTTTCAATATATATTCGATTGATTCTTCTTATTGGAAGATAAATGTACCAGTTGTTAACAGATAATAAGATTAATAAGCTCAAAAAAAAAAAAGTGCAAATGTGAGTCGATTTGCAGTTCAAACACTTATAGATGTCACAATAACAAATTAGTAGTCTTCTTATTTTTCTTTTTTTAGGAAGCCTACGTTTATACATTTTTCCAAGGTTAAGGCAAAAAATACTTCCAGTTTTCTTCAGTCCTTTAATTACATCTGTTATATCTTACGTTTCGGGACAATTTTCTTATCATCAGAGTATTCTTATGTTTACTTGCTTTTGTGATGTGGCACCAGTTGTCAAAAATTCAATAATTTTCATATTTATTTAATACTTATTTGTTTGTTTTTACACATTCATTTCCTGTTCATTATTACACCAACCAACATCTGGCTCAAATGGTTGATTTTTGATGGTGCAAGGCTGGAGTTGGTATCCTTATCACTTTTGTCTAGGAGATAACTTTGAAATTTGATCTATTCATCTGTAATTTGCCATTTCTTATTTTATAACTCGTGCGCGATTTATTGTTTTAATTATATGAAAAGCATATTGACTCCAAAACCTGAGTGTCTATTATTAGTGCAATTGTCAGAGTTTCCTATGTTTTTCATGAAATAATTAACTAATTGACTGTACAGTAAAAAAAAAAAAAATTATATATAAGACCAAATTCTCTGTTAATTTTTAATTCACAGTCAGAACTAAAGCTGTGGTTCACACTAACGTTGAAAATTTCTCTTGAAGTGTCCATTACCGGTACATATATACTCTACTTGTATTTAAAAGAAATTTTGTCTGGTTTAATGTGAAGCAACTGCTAACTACCTAAATTAAATAATTTTTTTAAAAATTGATTTCTATGAAAGAGAAAACCTGATCACCTTAAGAAAAAACAAAATTGGACTTAATCCCTTTCCTGTTCAAATCCTCTCTATCGTGAAGTGCATAGGTTCCACCTTTTGTCATTAAGGCCCACCTCCTAGAGTTTGGTCATTAAGGACTCAGATACTCTGTATATATATTTTAGCCAAGATTATTGGAATGTCTGCACTAATGAGATCGCACTAAATTCCCAGTTTCAATTAGACTTAAAAATAAAACAGTTCAGGGGTAAATTAACAAGAACACTTTAGTCTGACACTAATAAATATGCAATTAATATCTAGAGATATTGTTGACCATAGAACGAATTGTAGGAGAAGCTGGTTAGGAGTGTGTTCATTGATGAAATAAGCTTCCTTATTTGTGTGTTGTACAACAACTAAATGAGCTTAATATAGAATGAAGTGTGGTGGCAGCAGTTTTCCGCCACTTGCTACAAGGGACAAATAATTCACCTGTCGCTACCTGGCAGCAACACACAAGCTCGCTAGTGCAACGCACCTAAACAATTGTATTTTGTTTCTTATTGTTATATGATAAAACACTCAAATTGTAAATTGGAATATGTATATACATTGTAAATACTTTTTATTAATAAAGTTTGGTGACAATATATACTGATCAAAGCTTAAAAATAACTGTAATTGTAACGGCTCTTGATAGCCGATTTAGTCAGGGCGGAATGAATACTACAGTTCTTTTGCAAAGTTGTTAGGTATTTAAGTCTTCGTCCTTCGGGGTATAGATCTTATATGCAGATGATCAGTATATACCTCATATACGCTTTTTGTTCTCATCATTCTGCTTTTTATTTCGGTATGTCCATTAACCTTTTAGCCTATTCTCTTCCTCCATGCATGTCTGGATGCTGATCCGTCCACTTGTATTCTTAAGCCAGGAGATTGATCTCTCCGTTAGTATTTCATCCTCTCACAAAGTCTGGAGATTGATCTCTCCGCTTGTGGTTACCATCCATGCGGAGTGTTAAGGTTGATCCCTTACACCGCAGACCAAGAGTGATTGGGTGCTGATCCGCCCGACACTTTAGGTCATTCTTTTACTCATCTTCCTCCCTTAATCATCTTACCCTTCTATACTGAACACATACTGTCGAGGCCTTCTGGTAAATGTATCCTCTGCACAATACACTAATAACACACAATAACACACTACACTACATACACAATAACACACTACACTAATAATACGATAAAATAATAACAATTATTATTATGGAGGCAATTGAATTTGACAAAATAAAATTCGAAAATTTATCAGGATCATAATTTAAGTAATGAAACTCACCTAATCCTTTTCTGATAAATTCTTCTTTCTTGAAGCAGTTGTAATGATAAATTTGATTCAGGTTTTTGGGGAACTCACTATAAAAAAATAGAAATAAGCAATATAAAATATTGAAATAATAAAACAAATTCCTAATCAAATAAAAAATATTAATAAAATTTATAATAGTTAACTAATAAATCTTCATTGTTGTATTAGAAAACCCAGGACTTAAGCATTTATTATAATAAATCTACCACACAGGCTATTAAAAAAATTATATATTGAATATCTCACTCAGGATAGATATCAGTACGCTAGAGGTACAGAGGAAAAATATTGTAACATTTTCAAAACTTTGCATGTTGTGGATAGTTCCGATCCAAGTTACTATGTTAAATATGTCAGCTTATTTCAGATACTTATGCTTGGAAAATATGTCTATAGTAATGAAAATACGAAAATAAAATCAAAACCAGCAAAATTGGATTTATGGTAATTTACTTCTGAAATACGGACATTGGTTAAGATATTTTATCTGTTCTACCAAATAAAGGTACTATTTCGCTGGTACTACCCATGGCAGCGATTCCTGGGGGTTGAGCACTGCTTTAGAGGAATAGAAAGGAACCTATTTCATTGGCACTATTCGGCAGTCAAGGTATAAACATTATGTCCTTTCTGATCACTTGTGAAGCAGTGAAACTGTTGGCAGCGAGGATGTTTTAGGTTGTGTTATCATATCAGAGCATTGTTTTGAAGATAACATTCACCTTAATACATTTCATTTCATTTTTTTTTTTTTTTTTTTGTTTTTTAATCGTCAGGCAAAATTAAATGAAATATTGTTTAAAATTTAAACAAAGCTATAATAAATCATTTTTTACAGGTTGAAGTAACAAGATTATTTATTTGTTTATCCCACCAAAAGTATTTCACAGAGAAATTCTAATATATCTAGATCAAAATGACATTAAATAATCCAAAAAGTTTTAACTTCAGGTAAATACTCAAATCCATACATTAAAAAATCAATTTGTATTTTTTAATTAAAGTGTTCATTTACTGAATACCTGTAGATAAAATGGTAAAATATTGCTTGCTGTGATTTCCTTACAAATATATGATATTTATTACTACTCCATTATATAATAATTATTGTTACTAATCGAACTAATAATTAGTAATATATTTAAAATCGGAGATAAATTCTCAGTTCTTAAAATAATACTTTATCATCTTATTAATACCATGCATACTTTATTTTATATTCAAAATATTACAAGAAACAATCATTTTGAAGAACGTAGGAATTAATACATGGATAATTGTTAGCATTTCATAATACAGACATAACCTAACCTAATTATTCAACTTTAACTACCAGAAAAAATGGCATGTATTAATTAAATAAGATTGAAACTCCGCTATTAAATCTATTGCTATCCTTCAGATACAAATAAAAACCATTAAATTTAAGGCTAACATTTTTATTTAAAATTATATCAAATTAGGACACTAAATTGATAAGATTTGGCCGCGACGGAGAGCAGTTTCAACGAAATAGACAAGCATGAAACGTTTGGCAGCATGTGATAGTGGTCGCTGTAGTGGGCAGTACCTACGAAATAACACCTTAAGAAATAATATAAAAAAGGTAAAAATTCTGCTATGATACATTTTACTTAAGTGTTTTCTCAAATGATCATTCTTTACCTTTTTAATTATTGTTATATATTTTCCGTTTAATGAACATTTCAATTAATCTATTTTACCAAAAACTGATGAATCTTGAGCGGCATTATCACTCCGAAGTTCGTTAGTTAAAAATTTCAATTTTAATACTTCTAGTCAAGCAATTTATTCTTTTCCTACAAACTTTTACAATTTTGATTTCCTTCTTCATAATTAATTTCAGTTCAGAAGTTGAGAAAAAAATATTAAAAAATATAATGTCACAGAAGATTAATTAAGTAATAATTTTCATTATTTTGAAGGAATATTTTTGTAACGAAGTTATTGGTTTATGAAAATGTATAACTTTTATTAACCAAAAAAAGAAGTACATTAAATGAGAATGCTGGTGAAGGTGCGTATTGCTTTTTACCGTTTTTAGACTGTTAAAATGGATTGCTTTAACAGAAAAGAACTTATTAATAAAAGTATAATAAAACCTTTACTTGATATTGCATGGGAAAAAGTTCTAGTTCAGAAAAAAAAAGAAAAATATTCCAGTAAAATCAAAACTGATAAAAATTGAAAGTAAAATTTTCATTTCAAGCCCTGATTAATTACAAGCTTAAGAAGGAAGGCAACTGATTTTAACAATTATCAGCACCCAAAATACGCAGACCTGGAATCTATTAATCATTCCTCAGTACTGCTACTAATGTAGAGAACAAATCCAGCAAGTGGGTCTGGAGGATCTGTTGGCTATCCCCTGACAGCTTCCTTAATGTTGCAGTCATGTCCTTATCAAAGTGGGAGTCTTAAAATTCATTTCCCGGTATTAACCGACCCAAGAGGAAATCGAACACAGAACATTCAGAACCAGGCAATATGAAACCCAAAGTCCAACATACTCGGTCATCACGATCACTCATTCCTCAGTACGAAGACAAATTATTATCTTAAAATAACCAATAGGTGTTTCGTAAAGGTAACCTCTCATTCTGATGACTCCAAATTCATGTACAATAGGGGACAGCAGTGAAAGCTCTTTGGTCGTTAACCTTTCTGAAAAAACAAACATAATATTGCTGCAACTGAAAATTCTTTTGCCTTGATGCCTCGAGCAAATTTAATTTCAATGAAGATTAGAATTTCAAAGAAGTGCTGTTACCACGACAAGAAGATTTAAATTAGAAAATTTCTTCATCTAATCATCAGGAAGTGGATCTAGCCTGTTAGTGCTGCTGAATTGGCAACAGCAGTTTAAGAGCAAGTAGGAATAGTGTTAATCTGGAAGTGGTCAATAAACTAAAAACCATAACAGCTTTTATCTTACTAAATACTATAACCTGCTTCTGGATAGTTTGTTGGGAACTGTCAAGAGACGAATGTAGCAAGAGTTTGAAATCAACAAGTATTCTCTATGAATATTAGGGAACATACTGTTGGCTGGAAAAAGAATTTGTTAAAAATGAAACAAATGAAAAAACCTGTTGTGCCTGGTATATGATAAGCTCTATATACAAGATAGGGTTATTACATAAGAAGATGAGAAGAAATGGTGTCCACAACTGCAACAATGGCTAATGGCTTGAACTTGTTATTGCTGACACATAATCTGAAAATGCACTCAAGCAATCAATCCTGTAGGCTTTAAAAAACAGAGTTACCCCTAAGTCTAGTTATGGTGATCTTGAAACAAATCTTACCACAATGGCTTGCGAATTAACTAATTTCCTGAATAAATTACACTCAAGAGCTCAGAAAGTATAAAGAAAGCTGAGGATCTAAAATGTAGTTGATAATTTGAATCAAATCCTCTAAACTGTGAACAATTAGGAGTAGTGAATGAAGCTGGTTTGACACACTGCAGCAGCCTGTAACATTAAGCCTTGCAGAAGCAGCAAATAAACTTATATTTGCACTCAAATGTGTGATGATTTGATGAAGGCAGTAATTTAAATTTTAAGCAGCCAGAAACATTGTGTCACTCTTTGCAGATTGGACAACAAAGTAGAGTTGGATTTAAAAAATGTCAGGAGTGGAAAGCAGCTTCGAGCTCATAGAAGTGCTTGATTCTTGTTTAAAAAATGTAGGAACCAATGGCCAAGAGAGGAGACATTTTCATACCTTCCTTAAAATATCCATATAACATTATTTAAACTTTACTCCAAAGGACAAAAGAACGTAGAGGTTATAAATTTCTTAAATTATAAGTACCGAAATTATAAATGACTAAATTAATAACAAAATTAATATAAATTATCAACATTATTATTATAATGGCGCTAAGGTCCTGCAAGAACCCGGGCTTCCTCTACTACAGCCAATCAATCTCCACGGTCTTGTGCTACTTCCCTCCATCTTCGAACGTCCAGCCGTCTCAGATCGTCCTCAACATCCTCCAGCCATCTGATTCCCTCTACTTCTTTTACCATCCGGCTTCTCATGCAGCATCTTCTTAGGCATTCTTTGCACATGACCTAACCATCTGATTCTAACTCTTATTATCAATGCCACAATATCAGGTTCACCATAGAGTTCCCGCAGTTCCTCATTCTTTTTTGTTCTCCAAATTCTAACCACCCCATATTCTTCTCAATTCATTTCTCTTCCAGCAGTTGAGCGTGTGTTCTGAGTTTATGATTAAGGTCAAAGTTATTGGTTAATTATCAATAACTTTAACCATAAATATCAAATTTGATATAACTAGATGCCATAAACATAAATTTGTTCCAACAGAAGTTTTGACTACCAGCAAAATGTCTGATGCATTTGCAATGAAGTTTTCTGTTCCAAAACCTATAAAACAGCCTGGAGTGGAGAAAATGTGCTGCATATGTAACTAATAGTTTGCTGATAGCCAAAACTCATGTTAGAACAGACCTACAGAGTTTATGAATAGCACGATACATAAGAGAAATAGAGTTATAGTTTATCCACAATTAATTGGCAGGCTAAGAGTACTAAGTAGCGAACACATGGAGTACTAAGTTGTGAAACTAACACTGTTGTGAGTCCTAGCAATCCTATATTATTTACAAATGTTATGTATATAACAATATAAATTTTTAATACACAATATTTAATAAATAAATGGAGATTAAGAGAACAAATCAAAGAATTTTAAACTTAATGGACGATTAGTTCAACCTTGGGCCTGTTATTAGTGAGCGAGCTATGATAACATTGATTACATATTCGAAAATCAGCCATTTGGTTAGAGAAAAAAACAAAACATTAAATATGTAGATCTACAAAGATCTCTCACAGTGTCACTTTATATTGGTTGTTTAAATTTTAAATCAAAAATGTAAAATCATAAAAAATAAGCAAGTTGAACAATACAGTAAGAAAGAAGTGTCAGAATTTGATATTAATAAACATTCTTTTAAAGTAAACAAAGAGATTAAATCATAGATAAACAAAATCATTTAAATTAGCATTGCTTGCAGACTTGAAATACTAAATAAATATTATATATATTACTCTGCCTTAAAAGGAATCAGAAAGGGAAACGAGTAAATTATGTTTTTCATGTTAAGCACTTAATTGGAACTTACAGAAAATTAACACTAAAGAAGAGTGACATATACCAGTGATCAATAGTCATAAGAAAACTTGCTATTCCATGGAATTGTAAATAACCTACGGATAAATCATCTCTAAATCAGGTATATGATTAAAATGTTGCATTAACAGCAATGAAAATATACTTGCCAAGAATCTAATTATAAAAACAGTACTCACTATAAATCTTCATCAAAAAACTTCACAATAGCTAATGGTTTCTTTCGAAGACCAGATGTGACATCTTCATCCAGTTTGGTTTCATCCTGCACTTGAGCAGGCCACCAAACATTACTTAACTTCACCCAAACAACATCATTAGGGAGGTACGAAACCTCCGTTTGATCACACATTATCTGAAAACATAAAGAATCATACTATTTATTTCATTCACATTAAAAATCTAACATGGTTTGAAAAGTGATATTTCTAAAACAGAAACCTTTTTTTTCTCTTTATATTTCTTTTTTTCAAATTAAATAAAAAAATTGAAGGTTTTTAAATATAGCATTAGGAAATAAGAAAGAAACGAAATATTTGATTATTTCTGTCAAAGTTCAGAAATAAAATATCACTGATTAAATATTCAACACTGAATGAATATAAACATTAAATAAATTACAAATAAAACGTGTTCGAACACACTAAACCAATATTAATTAATAAAATTCTTAATGAATAACACATATCAATGTGAAACCAATGTATCACCGGTAAATATAAACAAAAAAGATCATTTAACTTATGCTTCAACACAACCAAACCCTAGATTAATTTCTAATTCAAAATGTTAATCATTAAACAATATGAATTGAATCAATGCATTAGAATAGACAATACCTCAAGTTGACAAAATAAATCCCGTACTGACCCACACTGTAACAGCGTTATAACATAGCAAATACTACTACTGAAAACAGGTACCTAATGGAGTCGAGCTGAAGTTGGGATCTGCTAAACGTCAAAAAAAAATTCTAAAGTTCTTATTCAAGTTAATAATTTTATTTTTTTTTTAAATAATAAAATTAAAATTGATGGAAAAACTATTTTATTTTACTTTAAGCAAATAATATATGCTATACAATCACTTGCATACTATATATATACACTCTTATCAGACTACTAGCGCATAGCGGCTGACTAGCCATACTAAACGAAGTTTCTCCCATTGTTGAAGAAAATAGTTACAAAAAAAAACACGACATAAATAAAAAAAGACACATTAATAATTAATTATGTTGAAACCATCATAACTTAAGTATATCTCTACTTCTGTAAATATCAGCTAACTATAAATTTAGCCTACCAAAACATATTAACACAATTACTGCCCATTTCTATTTATAACTACAGAAATAAAAAATGTCATAAACCTCAAACTCAAATGTCATATGTTTAAACATGAACATGGTATACAAAAATACGTGAAGAAACTTGAAACATTTTAAAATGTTAAATGTTTAAGAATACACTACATTTTAAAGATCATTTATTTTATTAATAAAAATTAAAAAAATAATAATAATAATGTATGGAAACATCTCCTGAAAAAAATAAATGAACCGTTTAAAAACATGGTCTGTGCTAGGCATCTGCTTTCTCTACTACTTGTTTACTTCAATGGTCTTAATCAGATGACTTAATAAATTTACTTTTTCATTTAAAAAAAATATTTTAATCTGATATACACTAATAGTTTTAAAGAAATTCATGGAGATATATCTATTTGAAATTGCCTGGGTCATCTAAGGTCCCTATAACCATAGTCTGGATCCCTACCATGTGTTGAGCATAAATGTTTCATGGTAGTAGATATTTTAAATTAAACAATTAATAATTATTTTAAATAAACATTGCACAACCTATTAAACAGTAGATGGCTCCAGTTAAACTCCTCTATCCGGAAACCCTGGGGTCATCAAACTCAACATAAATAAAATAGTAAAAATGTTTTTACTAATTTTGTTTTTTAATTATATCACCAACCATCATTCTCTGAACGAAATTGCTATTTGTTGCCCAAAAATGGTTCAATGATGAGTGAGCCAAATACTACTAGGTATTATAAAGTTCTTCTTTATACCAAGGGGAAGGGGGGTAGTTCAATGGGTGAGCATTGACTTCCAGAGCTCAAGGTTCCGGTTGATGACAAGAAAGTTTCCATCAGCTGTTGATCGACCCTGGGGTCGGGGGACTCTCCTGGGGTACAATAAGCCTTTGTAAAGTGGACGATATTAATTAAGAGGGAAAACCTGGACGTTGAGAGTGATCTTGGCCAAATCATCTCCCTGCACAACAGTTTGGCCTTGTAACAGTACTCTCTCACATAGTACTGAACACAAGACCCTTCATGGGTTGTAGTGGTACAGGCTTTATATATATATATATATATATATATATATATATATATATATAACAAAACATATAGATCTGCAAAATTCACTAAGATAATTTGTGGTTTACACAACCGTTGTTTTAACCAAGTAGCTGTCTCAATAAAAAGTATTTGGACATTTCTTAAAAATAATTCTTTATTTTAAAAGAAGGTAACAGTATAAACGATTTTAATAATAGACACTAATTTCAGATTGATATTTAAAAGGTCATCAAGCGTCCAACACATTAGGGCCAAAAGAACGTTAATCAGATTCCACCCATAATAATTACTTCTTTATAATTAAGATTATGGCAATGACAAATTTATTGTTGGAATGAAAAGGCACAGTAATAAAAAATCAGGATAAGAGATATCTTGTTACGAAGGGCAATGTTCTGAAGTAATTCTCTATTGTGAAAAGCTTATAGAGATCAAACGACATGGGTGTAATTTTTACAAAAAAATCAGCAAGTTTTTAAATAGGTCAAAAGTCAGCATAGGGATTCTAATCAAACTCAAACTTTTGAAAATAAAATAGCTAATTGTAGAAAAAGAGACAAATCCAAAGCCTTTCTTTGCACGTCTCAAACAATTTTCTAAAATGCTTTTAAGAGTTTTTTAAAAAAATAACTATGACATATACTTACTTTGAAGGAGAAAACTAAAATTAAGATTTTTGTTGAATTATAGTTGAACAATAAAAAAACGTTATCTGTAATGGAATTTGAATAAATAACAAAGAAATTAATATATACAAATTAAACCAAAAAAGTATTCAACAAACACTTCCTTAGCAAACTATTTATCACAATTTTCTTTTATTGTCATGAAATCCAATTGGCATTGTGATTAGCCATATATTTCTACTAACTGTTTTGAGAGAAAAGCCATTTTCTCTAAATCTAACACAGTTTTAACCAAATAGGCATTACGAGGACAAATGTTTTTCATAACGTCTGTAAGTACACTGCATGGAGTAATTAGAAATTAGTGTACAACAAGGAAAAACATATAAATGAATCTTTCTAACGCTTTCAGAAAAAATCTAATGTTTTCAGACTATGTCAATATATACCACTCACAATATTCAGAGAACTGGGCGTATCTCATGATATCTTAGCATTAAATGGTCACCTTAAAAAAAAAAAAAAAAAAAAAAAGAGAAATTCTGAGTATTTATAATTGATAAGAATCTCTTTCATGGTAATTCTTTATTTTTATTCCTTCAGTCAAGCGTTTCGGGTTACTCACCCATCATCAAAGACAATTTAATCTGATAATTGATATCTCATTATCAATAGAACAATTTAATCAATAGTAGATGTTTTAACAATTTACTTGAATTATTCCCGAAATCCTCCTTTATTCTTCGTATATGTCCTTCAAAGCATTCAAGAGATGCTTTTCAATTATAAATATCCAGAACAATTATAAAACTCCCTCTTAAAACATTACTATAACGAAAATAAATGAAAAAACTATTAGAGATGGACACGGAAGGACATATACGAAGAATAAAGGAAGATTTCAGAACTAATTTAAGTAGAACAACAATTAAACATTGAGATCGATGAGATATGAACTTTCAGATTAAATTGTCTTTGATGGGTGAGGGAACCAAAATGGTAGATGAAGGGATAAAAATAAAGATGCTTTTCAATTATAAATACCAAGATCCATTATAACTCATCCTCTTAAAAAATTAATATATCGAATATTAAATGAAAAAAAACAAATTTTTTTTTTTTCTTTTTCATTTTATTTAACAACCAAAACATTTATTACAGAAGTTTGCTAAAGAAAATAATAAATCGAAACTTAAGTTTGAAAATCAAAAATCACCAAGTTCTTTCATCTTCACTTATCCATCTGCCATGATATTTAAATCATTAGGTTCTTGCTAATTCCCAATTTTACAAGGATGGAGCTCTTACCTTTCCATGAAATGCAAATTCACTTAATAAATTATACAAATATAATATAACATTAAAAGTTAACCATTCAGGAATAGAATAATAATTTACAATAAAAATAATAAATAGTTATCATATTAGATCAAAAAGAAATAATTAAATTAAACAAATAATTTAAAAACACGAAACACATACAAGTGGGTAAAATCAATTAAAGCATATGAACAAAACATTTTATTTTGAAAAAAAATATCAATAAATAACAACTATAACAACTTTATGAGCATGGCATATCTCATAATTAGCCACAATTTCTTTACACAGTATTCTCTATCGGATTGGTACAAACTTCGGAAAAATTTCTCCTACTTTCTTCCTCTCTGAAAAATATAAATATTAAATATGAGAAAAATGTTTTTTAAGTTGTTAGGCAGGATTGATTATCCTTTTAAGTAGAGAAAAAAAAGAATTGAAATTTTGCATAAAATAAAAGTAAATCCTCAGGCGAAAGCCTCCTGAAATGCTATTACAGAATACAACCTCATAGATTTATTACCTGATATCTATTTCAAAGCTATTGACAATATGTAGTCGATTGCATGAATATCACTCAAATTTTTTGAAAAATAAACTAAGGTGAAAAACGGACAAAGATTACAGATGGGAAAGCAATAACAATACAAATGCTCGAAAATCCAAAACATTAAAAAATTCAATAACATACACTTTATATACATATATATATATATATATATATATACTTCAGACAGATGCCTTGTGAAAGAAGTACCATCTTGATTTTGATTTTTTTGATTTGTTTTGTGAAGATTAATTTGGAAATTGATTATTTCAATCAATAACAAAAAAAATGACTTGAAAATTATTCATTTGTTTTGTCTTTATTAGTTATTACCAAAGTATCATAAGCAATTAATTATTTTTGTTTTTAAATTGTCGATTTTTATTTAAGAGAACTGAATTTTCTGAAGAAAAGTTAATATTCAGAAAGAACATTCCTTTAACCAAAATATTAATATAAACAACTACAGCATACAAGCAAATTAAAATATTTTAATTTTAGAATCATCATTCATCATGAGATGAGTTGTCTTCTTTGTTACTTTCTTAAAAAATACATAACATGCATTTCATATATCTCTTAAATCTCTAGTAATAATTTTAATATGGTTTCGGAATATGGAAAGTATAGCACTAAATCACAATATAAACAATAAATATTTAACTTATGACAAATATACCTAGTCCTGTCATAAATATTGTTACAAGGAAATATATACAAATTTCAACAGAAAAATTAGCTAATTGTTTGATAATTCACAGAAAATAATACAGTTCACTTAAAATTCTAGACAAGAAATAGTAGTGACATTGCTTTAGATACAGTTTGATTTACTCAATAGATTGCAACAGTTTGAAATCACATAAGTAAAAAAATATTACTTGAATGTTATTATTGTTTAAATTTTATGCACAACAATTAGTTATCAATTTTTTCAATTAATTGTATATCACTCACAAATAGTCACTATGACAATAGAATATTTAAATACTGTATACATAGTAAATATTTTAAAACATTTTGTCTTCACTGAAAAGTTGAGATTTGAAAGTAGGTTTTACACCCAGAACTCCACCTGGACAAACGCCCAACTTGGAATCCTCATACCAGACTGAAACGATTACTTCAGCACTTACTAGACAATGCTCTAAACTTCCAATTAATTACAAAAGACTCATATACATGACTATAATAAGGCCTATTTGGACTTACGGAGTTGAGCTATTGAGCTCCACTAAACCATCGAATTCCTCTCGTATCCAATCTTTACAATCCAAAATCCTTCGTAAAATCCTCAATGCTCCCTACTTTTTTAAAAATAAAAACATCTATAATGACCTTAATGTTTCAGATCTGGCCCAATCCAGATACCTATCCTTCCATAATAAACTTCAGAATCATCCGAATACTCTCATTTCTAACCTTGCTACCTCTTCAATTCCTGGTAACCATTCGAGGCATCTGAAAAGAATATGGCCCCGTGATCTCCTGTTGTAGACATATTATTAGAGTGCTGCCAACGGGTGTTTTCACGTTATTATATCCATTTGTACAAATTTACTAAAAGTATTTCTTTAATGGAGTTGTAAATATCATTAAGAAATAAAATATAAAAAAAAAAAAAAAAGGTTTTACAATATTGCTGACAATACCCTGGAGAAATATTTTCAAATATTATATTAATTAATTAGATGGTTATACAATATAAAGATAAAACAATTTCAGATTTGGAACTAGGTTTTGTAATATTACTAACGATACCCAAGAGAAATATTTTTAACTATTAAATCAGGTATAGCATGAAAACGTTTCTCTTCCGTGTATATCAATTTATTCATCTGTCTAACGTTTCGAACTCTTTGCCCATCTTCAGAGACATTTCTTTTCACTTCTAAATGTTTTTCCTTTATCTCCTGTTCTTCTAATGCATGTTATTAACATGTGTGTCTTTTTCTATTCCATTTAACAATTTTATACCAGACTTAGTCAAAAAAGTTCACTTAAATAACCAGCAATGTGATGATGAAAATTGACTAAGTGTGGTATAAAATTGTTAAATAGAATAGAAAAAAAAGACAAATGTTAATAACATGCATTACAACAGAAGATAAAAGAAAAGCATTAAGATCTGAAAAGAAATGTCTCTGAAGATGGACAAAGAGTCTATCGCAACAAAAAAACGTTGGACAGATGAATAAATTGACATATACGGAAAAGAAAAGTTTTCATGCTTCATACCAAAACTAACACAAAACTCTTCCTTAATTAAATTATTTAACATTAAATAATATTAGAATTAACTATTGTATTAATACATTAGACGGTTACACAACATCAAATTATGTGAGCTGCTAATATAATTGAGGTGATTACATTGCAGCGAATAAAATGGACATGTAAAATTTTTGGATTTAATAACAAAAATAAAACCTTCCTAAAAGGTTAATAAGGGTTGTACTGAATGGTAAATGGCCAAGAAATAGACCAACTCAAATGTGGGAAGGTTGCATCAAGGCTGATCTGGCAGGGCTGGATTTGGATGGTGACTGGTCGAGAGAGGTGTGTAGACAATGGTGTGTCGGCATCGAACCTTCAGGTCTGCTAAGCTTTTTACTATTTTCGAAGGTTAGCTTTTAATAGGTTTGAATCCAGGTTAGATAGGTTAAAATTTATTTCATGACAGATTCAAGCAAAGAATCTAGGCTTTCTCGCTCTGCTTAAGTAGGATTGGGTTTTACCTCTGGAACAACCCTCCTCCTGTCGTATTTTGCACGATACTGGATGTTTTGAATTATCTACCACGATTTAATTGTTTTTTTAGCACCAAACACAAGTTTAATGATCAAAAATGAAAAAAATTACAAATAATAAAATTTTAATGTGTCGACAAGTTCTTTTGAAAAAAGGAGAAATCCTAAGATACCCAAACTCATAAATAAGCGTCCTTTTTTATATTTATCCCTACCTGAATTATTCCTATGCGCTTCTTTACCCCTATTCCCTCTCCAGTATGACTCTTCTTTTATTTTAATATAGTTAAAACTGAACGTTTAGGGTAAAATAATTTGAAAATCCCTTTTACACGAGGTGCCTACAATAAGTGAGTAGGAAGAAAACTATTCACAAATGAAGTCTGATAATGGAACAGTATTTTTATACGAAAAAAGCATTGAATGTAATGAAAATCTTAAATCCCTTTGAGTGTATCCACTTACTTCATTTCTAACATAAATAATGTATATAAATATGTATAATTTTGATTTTTTTTTTTTAGCTAGAATTATAGAAACAATTGATTGACAAAAAATAAAGCCCATAGAGCAATTATTTTTACAGAGAAGCTCGTCCAGCAATCAATGGTAAGAATTTTATTTTGTCATATACTTTTCTATGATAGCACCAACCTTTCTTTTACATAAAATCAATTTTTTTTTTTATTTCTTACACAAATATAACAAAAAGCTTGTTCCATAAAAAAAAACATTTTAAAGAAAACTTATACTCAAACTGTTTCGCACATCATTACAGTCGTTTTTCACCCTACTGTACCTATAAGACAAAACAGGTGTTTACAGCAGTGGTGTGTAACTCATATCTGTAAAAAAATCCACAGGTGTTGGTAAACCATTAAAAATTTCATCATGAGCTGTGTACATCTGGACAATTCATCTCTTAATTACGCCAACATCCTCTCCTGCCCCCACACTGTGTGCGGCAGCTACCCTCATTTTACTTCATTGATGATAGATTGTTAATTTTTTTTTTCAACATTTCATGTAATAATTTTGTATTATTAAGTGTTGGAGTTTTAACAATCCTTTCTAAATGGTTAAAACAGGTCTGTCGAATCCCATGACTTTAAAAACGAAGAAATCTGGGAGAGAATAATGTCATGAGCACCATGAGAATAATTAGTTTTAATTGAATTCTGTGGTTAAGTGAAAATACTTTTCACTAATTTTTTTTTGTATTGTTATTTTATTTTAATTTGTATTTTGAAACTTCTGGCTTACAGAGGAGAGGAGGGAGGTTGTTAAAAGAAAGGGGTAGGCATTTACTGGATTAAATCGAGAAATATCTATAGTTATTCATTTTAACCCATTTGTGAAGGAAGGCTTATCATAAATAAATGGAAAATTTAATATGATTGTTTTTATTTGTCCTTACTTAATTTATTTTGATTTTCTTACATCAATTGTAAAAATCATAATAATGATTAAGTAAAATCCATGATAATGAAGGTAAGTAAAAACCATAATTTTTTAATTTATACTGCATGTTTATACACATTCCAGCATGTTTAATTGAACGTTTCAACACTTTGAAATATTTTCACACTTTTACTCTACGAATATTAGTGCTAACTAGCCATCACTTATGGTTACAGAAAGTGTTAACTTTTACCTATCTGACTGACTTCCAATCCATAAAGATTTTGTTTATCAGCAAGCAGGAATTTACCAAGCTATCATAAAGTTAAAATACTGTTTTGAATACTAAAGTAAGACAATGAACCCTTCTCATGCAGTCAACTAAGTTATTTCAAATCCCTCAAAAGTATTTTTATTTGTTTATTTAGACATACAATATTCTGTCACAGGGACAATAATTATATTGATAAAAGAGCACATTCACACCGTATATACAAAAAAAAAAAAAAATTAACAAAGTAAAACAATAACTAAATAATAATAAATAAAAACTATATACAATAAAAAAACCTAAATATAAGTAAATTAAAAACATAAAAATACAATCATACCTATATACAATATATACAATCAGGCGGGGAACCCAAATCCCTGCGCTAGTCTCTCAACCTCCTCACCGGTGCTAAAGCCGGTGGAGTTTGAGCGAGAGCGCTTTAGCCACATACACTCATGTCTTGAGTGGAGAATCTGGCCATTGCCAGAACTCCAAAATAAATACTATAAAAGATCTCTGGGCCACTGCCGCTTCAATCTTCGAGGAGGGTTGTAGGGATGAGTGGAACTAGATAGGGATTGGGCTAGGGGATTTGGATGATTGATAAGGTTCTGATGGAATTTTGAAAATTTTTCAGGAATAAGGTCAAGGACAAATGGGATATTAAGGTCATGATGTAGGGTTTTGTTGGTTACATAGAACGGAGCATCGACTATTGTTCGGAGTACTTTGGATTGAAAGGATTGGATGCGTTTGATGTTAGAGAACTTTGCTGTCCCCCAAAGTTCAAGTCCGTAGGTCCAAATGGGTTTCAGGATTGTCTTGTAGATCAGTAATTTGTTGTCAATTGAAAGTTGAGATTTTCTGGTCAGTAGTCTGTATAATTGGCCGTATCGTCGGTTAAGTTCTTGTCTTTTAAGTCTAGTATGTGGGTTCCACGTTAGTCTTCGGTCTAAGATAAAGCCAAGATACCGGACTATGTCTGAAAAAGGAAGCTGGATGGAATTAAAGTGGACTGATGGACAGGATCTGCGGCGGAGTGTGAAGGTAATGTGTTTGCATTTGGATTCGTTTACTTTGATGCGCCATTTATTACACCAGTGCTCAATCATGGAGAGGGGCCTTTGAAGATTTAAAGATGCTATTTCTGGATCCGAGTTGGATGATAGGATGGTAGTGTCATCAGCAAATGTTGCAAGGAAGGTATTGGGATGGACAGGGATATCGGCGGTAAAAAGGATATAAAGGACTGGGCCCAAGACGCTACCTTGAGGAACACCGGCTTCAACTGGGTAGGAGTCGGAAAATTCTGAACCACAGCGAACCCGAAAGGTACGATCAGAGAGGTAGGAGCGGAGGATTAGGTACAAGGACTGAGGTAGATAGGTTTTCAGCTTGGAAAGAAGCCCGGGCGTGCCATACCCGGTCAAAAGCTTGAGATATGTCCAGAAAAGCACCCGAGCAATATTGCTTGCTTTCCAGTGCTGCGGAAATATGATCGACCACTCGGAGTCCTTGTTGGACTGTGGAGTGTTGTGAACGAAATCTGAACTGATGGGAAGGAAGATTTTGGGATTCTGTAAAAGGTAGGATTTGTTTCAGGAGGATCTTTTCAAAGATTTTGGAGAGGATTGGAAGTAGGCTAATTGGTCTGTAGGATGTAGGGGTGTTGGGAGATTTGCCTGGTTTCGGAAACAGGATAATAATGGAATGTTTCCACAAAAGAGGAAAGTGGGTGGTTCTAAGGATGGTATTGTATAAATAAGTCAGAAATATAACAGCTGTAGGAGGGAGTTGTGGAAGGATTTGAGGGGTAAGGAGGTCGTATCCAGGAGATTTACGGAGAGGAAGTTGTTGTAAGTGATATTTGACCTCAGAAGGATTAATTGCTTTAGGGGGTAAGGAAAGTGGAATGGGTGATGTAAGGAATTCTTCTACTGTTGTGGTATGGGTGAGGTTGGATTCTGGATGAGAGGTAAATGTTCTGGAGAGGTGTCTGGCGAATTCCTCAGCTTTATCTTCATCAGACGCCACCCAGGAGCCATCGCTTCTACGGAGGGGATGGGAAATATGATGGGAATTTAGGATTTTGTTGGTGATCTTCCATAGGGAATTGTCATGAACAGAGAGGGAAGTAAGGTAGGAATTGAAGGATTGGGATTTGAAGGTGGCCAATTCCTGCTTTAATTGTTTACTGTAAAGATTATAGGAGCGACGATCGATGGGGTGTCTAGTACGTTGCCACAATAATCTATGAGGTATGGATTAGGTCTATGAGGTGTTGAGGTAACTTATTTTTCTTGGGAGTTCTTGAGGAGTGGTTTGGAGAGGAAGCAGTCCAGATTGCTTGTTGGATAGTGGTGGTGAAAAGGTGTACGGCATTTTCAAGGTCATCTGGGGCCTCAAAAGTATTAAACAATAAATAAGTAAATTGTGAATGCACCAAAACAATTGATAGTAACATATAAACCAAAAATAACAGAACAGTAAAAGAAGGAAAAGGTAACTTATTAATATAAATGTAAAAAAAAAAAAAAAAAAAAAGCCTAGGCAACAAATAAATTCAGTTTCAAGGGATATAAGGCACTACAACCCATGAAGAGTTTCGAGTTCAGTATAAAATGTGCAACCACAGACATGTAATTATTACTACGACATGGTGTAATGTATATATGTGCAAATAAATGATAATTTAAAAAAAAAACTTTAGTACTTTGCTAGGAAAAGTTTGAGGCCAATGGTTGTGCAGGGAGCTGATCAGGCCAGGTTCACACTCAACTGCCAATCTTTTCCTCTTAATCAATTATTTAAGAGTACTCACTTTATAGGGGAAGAAGATGAGTGTATCCCAGGAGAGTCTCACGACCCCAGACTCGATCCATGGCTGATGAATCAGAATATATAATTACCTTTAATCAGCGGAACTCGAACCCAGGGACAGCTTAATAAGCCAGTACCTAACTCAGTGAGCTACTCCACTCTCAGCAACATAATTTAAATGATAAGTTAAAAATATCTGAAACATTGAATGAAAATTTTCTTTATACCTGGCATAGGAAAATCGTCTGGATGGAGAGCTATATAATGTCTGTAAACAGCATCTTTTTCCATATTACGGATATCATACCACTTTTGCAACATATAGCTCACTCCAAAAGCTGCAGCGGCTACCCCAATGTGCATCTGTATACCTAAAGGTAAAATAATGGAATTTTAATAAAGAACCGAACAAGTTTAAAACTCTTAAGAATTTATAGACGATTTTAATGAGAAAACCTCATAGGTTACAATACAAAAAGTTTCCTCTAATTACTAAAAAATGATCGAAGTGGAAATAGTAACATCACTATATTACTGGCCTACACTTAATAAGTATTATTTCTTGAATAATTTTGAAATGGAGAGGATATACTTGAAAAAAGAACTATAAGGAGAAAACTATGTGTTGATAACAAATAAATTAACAATTATAAGCAAGTAGTCAGAGCTATTACACCTTAGGGACTGATACCATGAACTTAGCCATCAAGTCCCCTCAGCCCCTCCCCTTCTCCTTCTGCACTGATGTTCTAAGAACCTACTACATATTTTATGATACTTGAATAAACAACATCAGTGTAATTCATTAATGACCAACAGGAAAAAAAGTTAATTAATAAATTAAATCAAATTAAGAGATATATTAGAACAAAACATTCAAATTTTAGCTATATAAAAACCTACAGCATGACGGGAAAATAATTATTTTTTTGGATTCTTGAGGTGCGGTGTGCATTATTAAACTTAAATTATAAAATATTTAATGAGGGTCAATCCCAAATTTATTCTCTATATAATGTAAATGAGGTGGAAGATAATATTCATTTTATAGCTCAGTCCCAAATTATCTGAATTCCAATGAAAAATGTTTCAACTTACCCCTATAAAATTATAACAACATTGAAAAAGAGAATAAGCGTTAGAGATTGAAAATATTATATTTTATTACTAACAGACAGTAATATTAGTGGAAGTGAATACAAATAGTTTTATTTCTTGAATTTGTCTTATAAGGGTGCCCATAGACTCCAATTTTTATTTAATTTTAAACTTTAGTTCATTTAACGGTGTTGTGTTTGTTTATTCATTTAGATTAGAGCTTAAAAATAACTTATGGTTATATACAGTTAAAAGAATAATATAAATGTTTATTTATTGCCTAGGTAGACAAAATTAAAATTTTAAAACAGTGATAACGAAGATTTAATATTTAATGTAAATTTTTACTTTCACTTACCTATATTTTTTATTGTTTTGGTTTGAAATATTTTTCAAAACAAATAACTACAGAATATTATTTTCTTTATGTTCAATACAATTGTTAAAATTAAATTTGGGTGTATGTGCAGTTATAGGAGATATTAATACATACTTAGAAATTGTTCGTAAATTCATAAATACAAAAATAATTTTAAATATTTTTTAACTCATTGTAGGCGGATCATGGCGGTTAAAATTAATATGAATTCCTCTATAACCATGACTCCTAAAAATAAAAAAAAAAATCAATTTTCCGGAGGATATCAGAGCTTTTTTTGTAATAATTTAATTTAAATACACCTATTTTTGTACACAAAAAAAGAAAAAGAGTCCAAGTAAAACAAGTTTTATATAAATAATATATTTCTTCTAGTTAAGCAGAATGACAGTAAAATGTTGGTAAAGTTTCAAGAATAAACCATGAACCATCAGCTCAAACCAAGCAATTTTGTATGAAATTCCAGAAAATGACTAGGTTTTTAATTGCACTATCCAATAAAAAAAGAGAAAAATGTATATTCTGTCAACTGAGAATATTCTCATGAATTCCAGAATGTATCAATAAAATATTTTATCTAGTTTTTGAAGTTATAAAAAAATTTTAGCCGATGTCGCAAGTTATCCAATACTCATACCAATATCACCCTCAGGAATTTATATGATTCCAATCAACTATGAATGGTCTTTTCCATCTAGGCTTATTTTACTTCTAGTTTATTTTCCTAGCTCAGAGATGGCAACTTCATTCATTAACCTATCAGTGAAGAGGAATTATAATGTTACAAGTTAGGAAGAAATCTCTGGCTTAACTAAACTGCATACAACAAGATTAAGTGAAGACAATTTATTATAAATATTTTCTTTGTTATAATTTTTTTGTATCATGTACTCCATGGAAGTGTGTACCCTTAAATTGTGTTAATTTGGGCCACTGTATATTCCTGCAATAAGAAATTAGAGAAAAAAATAATCATACAGAATAAGAATTGTACAACACATACTTTTAGTAAATAACAAAAAACCATGTCTTTAAACAAGAATTATGTGATGACTAGTATAACAGATACCTTCAGATCATAAAATCATTTCAAAACCTAAGTATAGTAAGAAAAATTAGTTTTCTAAATAATTGTATGCCATTTCAAAAAGCTATATAATTGAAGATTCGAGTGATAATAACAATATGTACGTAAATACCAAAATCCACTAAGACTAGATAGGATACAGAGATGATTAAAATTGACTGTGAAATATGAACTAAAGCAATATAACCACAAATATGAATTTTATGTTTTCTTAAACAGTCAAACATATGAAATAGAAGATAATATTAACTTAAAAGAATACAATATTATCAAAAATCACATTTTTTACTTTGAAGATTTGAGAGCATTAGAAAGTGATTATCTCATATATTAAAATATATATATAATACTAAATATGTTTAATATAACGTACCGCTGAAAAGTGGTTTTTTTAATGCAAATTTATTAATGCATACACTAGCAAAACCAAGGCCTGTCATAAATGTAGGAAAAAATTTGCCAGTCCAAAAGGTTGGAACAAAGTCAGGATCAGGCAATAAAAGTTTATGTGGATCTGGAGCAACGGCCATGACAAATGAAACAGAAATTAAGAAAAAATTAAATGTACTTGATAGGTACTGAAAAAGTCGTTAATGAAAACTGTATAAAGGCAACAATTTCTTTCCTATCAGTTCCAAAGAGGTTAGCTCACCAATTGTACCATGTTTCTATATATTATATATATATACATGCACAGCGTAGGGCATCTTAGGAAGTACAGCAGCTTCGTAAATTTCCTTTAACACTTCCGATCTGTGTTCCAATATATATATATATTGGAACACAGACAGATCGGAAGTGTTAAAGGAAATTTACGAAGCTGCTGTACTTCCTAAGATGCCCTACGCTGTGCATGTCTGGCATCCAGCTTTTGAAAGTAAGAAAAATTTGGTGAAGTTGGACAGGCTTCAGAGGTTAATTGCGATTAAGATATGTAACTATGATATCTCGCTATTGTACACTATCATTTGGGGCCACAATATTATTGCCAATCCAAATGAAGATTGAAGAACGGACGACCTTATTTAACATTAGAAAAGGAAAGGGGGGTACAAAGACCTGACCCTGGACAAAGTAGAAAGAATCACTGACTGTAAATCTTGGTTACACCCTGCAACAAGTTTATGGACTGGACCAAAAATTACCTCTGAAAATACTGATGTTTTTACTGACGGTAGTAAGGACAGCGAGAGCGTTGGATGTACATGGTTATTCAGAGCTCAAGATAGCAGGAATATAGAACATCAATATAAATTAGTATCATATTGCTCAAATAACCAGGCAGAAAAATTCGCTGTTTTAAAGGTGACTGAATACATATATGACTATCCTCTACAAACGAACACACACGTTACTATAAATACAGACAACAAAGTTCTACTAGACTCTGTTAATAATCTGGACATTCATGATTACTTGACTGACCAAATTAGAAAGAAATTGTTAATGGTGACTCTAAAATGGGTAAAAGCACATTGTGGGATTGAGGCCAATGAACGAGTCGATTGCTTTGTAAAAGAAGCAGCTAAAAGCGATTTGTCACCATCGTATCATCAAGCTCCTTTATCCTATATTAAGATTAATTGAAAGTTGGATTTCATCAAAAGATGGGATCACATATGGGTGACCTCAGCTAAGTCACCAAAGCTTACACAGATTTATACCACACATTTTACTTCACAATTACAGATGCATTCACAGTAATGACTACAAACTTACGCAAGTACTTACGAAACATGGGAATACAAAACAATATCTTAAAAGATTCCACATTATACAAACAGACTTATGCGGTGAAGACGGGCAGGTTCAACATTTTAAACATAAAATATATGAATGTAAACGATTTGACAGACAGCGATTTGAGTTAATAAAAAGTATGGTTATCAAAAGTGGAAATTGGCCTGAGACGGAACAAAAGTTATTTACTGAATTCAAGACAGATTTTCTTAGATTTATTAGATCTATCGACTTCGACTTACTTACCATGGATGGGCAGCGTGGGTGATTTCCTTTTGGCTTTGTAGAATCGACTTTCTGTGTTTAATATGCTTGGTTTCAATTTATTATTATTTTCGTTTTATTTTCGTGTGTTTATTCTTTATGTTTTTGTCTGTTAATATATATGGATTTGAACTAAAGATTAATATCATGTAAAACTAGAAAAGAAAATTATGTAAACAATTGTAATTTATGCAGTATGTCTTTAAGGCACATGGATCATGAAGATGAATCAAATTAACGATCCTTGTGTGGGGTTACCACATAGGGAAAAAAATAAAAAAATAATATATATATATATATATATATATATATATATATATATATATATAATGTTTTTGAAAATTAAAAGAAAACTGTTACGTTATATGAGCTTTTCAGTTGACAAAATGAATAACTCCAATCTTAACATTTTTTATAATTAATTTTAGTGATATTTCTAGTGAGAAAATTTATACCTTTAGAGACAATTGTTTCCATAAAATATGGTTACATTTTACCATTTGGGAGGAGTTCAGTACAGCGCATATTAACTTTTTAGGAATTCTTTCGTTACTAAGCTCGGGAAGTTTACATGTCCATTTTATTTGCTTAAAAATAATCATCTCAATTAACCGGATACAGTTCACGTAATTCAGCGGTGTGTAACCGCCTAAATTCTCCGGTTGACTCGTCCTTTTTCTGTCCGAAAATTCTGCGCAATACTTTATTTTTAAAAAACTTAAGATGTTGCTCGTCCCTTAATGTAAGCGGTCACGTTTCTCATTCATGCTTCCTATAACTTTTTAAATTTTCTAGGAAGTTAGGACATTACCAGCGATATTCTTTAAAATGGTCAGATGATGCGTCAATCAATATATTTATTTTCTCCTTAAGAATATGAATATTAATTCTGTTGTTGACTACATCTGATTTGTTTATCTGACAAATGCACGCAGCTGGCAGAAGTCGAGAGTAATGATTTTTGTAGAGCTATAACATTCAATGAATGAATAACTAATAAATTGGTCAGCAATGACCCAATTGAAAACGAACTTTGGCACCCTTGAAATGTATATTCTATTATAAGAAATTATATAAAGTATTAATTCCGACCTTCAGAAATCTAGTTTTGTTGGAATTATCTGATAAGCTAAAATATCTCGCAAAAACTATTTTTTTATTAATGCTGATGGTAGTGTGTGGTCAAATAATCTTAATAGTGGTCAAATAAACAAGTTAATTTGGAGAATCAAATTTATTCTTTTCTTGTGTCATATTTTTATTCGTATAAAAAAAAGTATGATTTTTTAAGCATCCTTTTCTTAATTATCTATATAAATGGCTTCAGAAAATTAGATAGGAGTTTTCTTGAGATAAGGTGTTTATAATTTTACAGTTCTCTTTTTATGTAAATTAAAAGTTAATTATATCATTTTTCAGAAAGAATTTATCTTTTTATTGCTAAAAGCCTTTGCTAAGAGGTCAGGGGTCTCCAAACTTAGATTCCTCCAATAAGTCTCGTGAACAGTATTGAGACCTCCATTAAGTACCACGAACCAGAGTTGTGATAAAAAAAAATCTTTAAGTGACACTTTAGTTGCGAAATTGAGCTTTCTAAGAGAATTAAGTCATGCAATGTTGTAGTAATTGAATTCTGTGATATCCGCCATAGGTTTCACTTCAATAAAGATTGAAAATTTATCTTCTTAGAACTTCAAACTTTTTTACAATCAAGTTATTTTCTATAGGACAAAGAGCATTTTAGAGACTATCATTGAATGGCTCGTTAGAGAACTATGTTTGGTTTGTGTTAACTTTTTATGATTTTTGAAAACATGTACTTGATCTGTTGTTATTATGGAAATCAATGTTTACTAAGTATTGCCTATTGATATTAACCGTGTTTTGTGGAATTATTCTTTGAGTTTCTGGGTGAGAAGAATTATAAATTTTTCTTACCATGGGGAAGAAAAGTAACAAAAGCTCAAGAAATGTTTTAGCTTTACCAGAGGATCCATTCTGGTAAGATTATGCAAACATATTAGTTTAAATGTAATTAGGTTGTTTTTTGTAAGAAAAATCCTCTATTTCCTATCTACTTTGAATACTTTCTTCTAGCTCACTCTTTTATTTACATTATCAGTACTATACTACTTACTATATTACTTGCCTACACTTTTTTACAGGCCAGTATTGGAAGAATCTGGAATTAAAACTTCGCTTCTTGAAAAAGTGAGAGAGTAAGTCTTTTTACTTCTTAATATTGATTGCTCACTAGAAGTGATGTGTGTGTGTATGTTGACAGTTGTTGTTTTCAAATAATGATTATTTTGTGGGAGATCTTATAAAATTAAGGTACTGAATCCTGTCTACTTTCTGAATTATTCTTATTTCGTCTACATCAATCTGACCATTAGGTATATCATTTAATTATTGCAGGAAGTCATAAATAACATTTGATTAATTAAATTTGAGTTCTTTGATTAATTTTCTCTCCTGAAAACAGAACATTCTACACGTAGTGTAGCTATTACTTTTACTTTCCCATTTATGAAACAAATAGTAAGTGAAAAATTTTGAACCTAAAGTTCCAATGAAAATGCTTGTTTCGAGATCCCTGATTTCTAATAACCAAGTCTTGCAAAAAGATCTGTGTCCATGAACAGCAAAGATCAAAAAGTAGCAGGTGTGGGTAACTGAAATTACATATTTAAGTTTGGGATGTTTCAGAAACTTTTTTGCTAAAATCAACTCATCAGAATAGCCACTGTATATCATCTATTTTACCATTTTTTTCAATTTCTTTGGAAAACAGTGCTAAGAATTTGACTACATTGATATTAAACCGAATGATCTTTTATATAAGTTAAGATTTACTTTCAGATTGAAAAAACATTTCCAGAATTAATGGTGTAATGATGTATGCTATACCTTTGGAAAGCTTAAGATTTGATAAAAGTTAATGATTTATGATATAGTATTGAATATAGAAGTTAACGAAGTGTGACAAATATCTACTGAATTTTAATTTTCGTCATTAGTATTGTCTACTTTTATATTATGAAATGGGAAATAAATGTTTGAACATAGAACCTAAAAGGAATTTTGATAGTAAAAATATAGAAAACTATTTTTTTTTTCCAGTTGGTTAAATCAAAAATTTATAATGAATAGAATTGTTTCATACTTTTATAATACTTTTTGTTGGTTGTTTTGAATTTATATTTATAATTAAACTAATATTTTTAAAGTTAATAATTTCTCTTCAATTATAAGGGCTCTCAAAGTAGCAAAAACTATCCATCCTCAGTTAAAATGGTCAGAATTTCGAAAAATGAACAAGGAACAGAAAGCTAAACATGTTGAACAATTTTTTATGAATTTACCCACAGAAGAACAGGCACTGCACAAAAAGGCTAAGGAATTAAAGTTGGTATTAAACAGTTATTTTCAATACAATACCATTATTTTATTTATTATATGATTTAATAATGAATATAATTTCAGGAAATATTTAGCCATTGGCATAAATGAAGTTTCTAGAGGTCTTGAGAAGAAAGAGCTTGCTTGCTGCCTTATTCATGGCCAAGCGAAACCGAAGTTACTTATTTCCTATGTAATCCAGTTGGCTCGTGGTAGAGGAGTTCCTATTCTGATTGTAAATGACTTAAAGCAAAGCTTGAAAGAAAGCCTTGGCTTTTCATCACTTGCAATAGGATTTTTGGTAATTTATTGATATTATTATTTCTTAAGATTAATCTGTGATTTAGTTGTAAGCATTTCAGACAATGAAATATTGACAGATTTTAGTACATTATTTAATATTTTATAGATAATATCAGTTTTAATTTAATTATGGTTTAAAAAGTACCAAAAAGTAGTTCCATCCGTAACTAAAACGGAAGTGTCAAGTTTTCTTTCTCAAAGCCTCTGAAAAATATTAATTAACCCTATAGATAATTGAACTTCGATAATGCCTAATCAAGTGTGCTCTGTAACCCTCATCTCAACATGTTTGCATGGCAATCATGAACCTCATCTATAATAATACAATATAAATCCAAGAATAAAAAAAAACAATATCAAATATTAGTTACTATTTGGCCCATACAAATAAGTCGCGCTGTTTATCAGTGATCAAATGGTAATAAATAAATGCACTATATTATGGAAAGGATCTATTTGTTTTAACTTTACTTACTTATGAAATATTTAAATAGCTATCACTTTTTTTTTTTTTTGCTATGAAGTAACTTTATTTATTTCATTTGAAATAAGCATCCTTGATACTGTATTAAAGCAGCATTTGACATGGTTCCCAAACATGAAATATGGGAGGCTCTTAGAGCTAAGAATGTCCCAAGGAACTTAGTGGAGGCCATTAAATCCACTTAACAGCATCCAAAGGGAGTTGTCTGGCTTTACAGGTTGGAGTCCAGTCACTTTAACGAAGCGAGGGGGCTCAAGCAGGGAGATAGCTTAGCTGTTCTTGTCGCTGATTTGGTTGAAAAGTTACAGCAAGCAGTGACTGAATGGTATGAGGAACTCTGCGAAAAAGAAATGGGAAAGTGGACTTGTGAAATGTCTAACCGAATAAGCAGATTTGCAACATTATTTTAGAAAAGCGAGAGGTAACTAAGAACGTCAAGCTCCATGTATTCAAATCTGTGTATCTGCCAATACTTTTTTACAGGGCTGAAAGCTGGATATTGACAGACAGGCACGAGAGCAGAGTCCCTGCTGCTGAAATGAAATTTCTGCGAAGAACAGCCCGAAAGACTAGGAGAGATGGTATGCAACGAGAGGATATGACAGGAACTTGAGATCAGGTTGAAGCAGGTTTTGCACCATTGCAGGTTTGAAGCATTGAAGCAGGTTTTGCAAATCCACCAATTAAAATGGTTTGGCCATGTCGTTAGGATGGAGAAACATAGGGACCCATTGTAGACGATTATGTTCCAGATGGCAGAAGATCTCGAGGATGCCTGAAAATGTCATATTTGGAATATGTAGGTAGACTTTACAGAGGAAGAGGCAAATATCTCCACCAGGTCAGGAATTGCAATGAACACAGAGGAATGGAATTCCTTGTTATATACTCCCATCCACTAAGAGGCACAAAAAGCGAAAGAAGAAAAAATGAACATCTCACATTGTTATTAGTTTAATAAAATGGATAACTGTAAACTCTGAAAGACATTCCTAATCAACCAAAGCAGAAAAAAAAAAGAGTGGTGCAATCTCGCTTGTTCCAGAGGTTAGGATACTTCGCAAATGTAACACCTGTGTAATTTATGTTTCATCGTAGATGAGGGCTTGTGGATTAAATAATACTATGTTCATATACATGGGGGTTCTTATAAATGATAGCTCTGGTATAGAAGATATCTATATTTTTATGTATAATATGAGTTTCCTAAGCACAGGATTATATATATATATAAAACATTTGTTTTTTCTCTAAAGAATCCTTTTGGTATTTCTTTACTTAATAACTATAAAATTATTTTTGTAGAAAGATGTAACTGTGAACGAAGAACACGAGTTTCATGAATTATGTAAGCACGTCATTGACCTATCTAAAGGATTCAGTAAAGATTTAGAGGAACCAGCAGATCCAACTCATGATGAAAAACAGGAAACGGAAGATATCAAATACAAAAAAAGTGCTGATACAAATTTCACGGAAATGATTATCGACTGTTCTTCTCTTTATCTTTACCGCACATCAAGTGATTACAGAGTTTTTCATCCTCCTGATGAAGAGTCTATTTCTGATGAAGCAGATGAAATGAACATTAGTAAAGATCGGTTAGACATAGAAGTACTTCCCGATGATTGCCCAATTCCTTTCAAGAAAACCAAATTTATAGAACCAATCATCCTGAAGGTTCAAAGCAATCCGAACAAAATAAGGAAAAAAAAATAAATAAATAAAATAAATAACTGAATCACCTGGTTTTATTGTTTGCTTGTTTTGTTGTTTTTTTTATTTATAGGTAAGACATTGTTTATACAAGGATATAAACATCTAATTTTTTTTGTTAGGAAAATTAAACATATTTTAAAAATTAAAACATTGGTACATGAAACAATTTAACAAGGACTCATAGCCCAATAATAGTAACAATACACAGTATTGTAATCATAATATAAAATTAAAACTAACAACAAAAATGTACAAAATCATATAAATATAAATAAAAAATAAAAATAATCTAAACTACCTTTACCAATTGTTATTTAGCCACTAATATTAGTGAAGTTATGATAGAAACATAATATATATACGTATTTTTTTCTTTTTTTTTTTTCCTTTCTTTAATTTTAAAGATATTTATTAACAGATCATATAGATTTTTATATTGAAGGAATCACATAGAAACTCATTTTTTAAATATATATATCTTTCTAAACACAACATACATATATTTAATTTCCACAAAGTAAGAACATTTTTAACATGAATACTCTTTCGTCACCAAATGTGTATAACAATATTTCAGCAAGTCGATTGCACTAAGTTTTACTTTTTTTTGAGGTTTTAAATTAAAATTATCTATCTCTAATATTTAATTAGAAAATAACAATCCATTATACCACATTTTAGAAATATTTCAGCAAAACACATGATGCTTGATTTATTTTTTTCTTCACCTCAGATTAAAAGAAATAAAATAAAAAATAAATGAATTTTTTTTTTTACTTGTTATTTATGTCAAATAAATTTAATATTTTTTTTAAATAAAAATTTATACACACTTAAATAATATCTAACAATCTTTCTTTCATAATGTTTTTAAACATACACACATATATATATATTAATATATAAACACATTTATCATGGTGATACATGGTATCATATCGAAAAAATGGACAAATTTAAATTATAATTCAATAGTTAATAAATATTCTTCAATATGAAGATATTTCGCTCTTCAATGGCCAGAACAGTCAAACGCTCTGCACATCAAAGAGAAAAGGAAGAAACCACCGTAAGTTTAGGATTTCACTACAATGACTAAATATAAAACTTAAAATCATAAATTAAATTGGCAGTTGTATGATAAAATAAAATGTACTCGCATAAAAAACAAGAGATAAAATAAATAATATGAAATAAATATTTTTTTAAAAATTATGTACATTAACATACATACAATAATAATTTTAAAAAATCAAAAGGAATGATAAGAGAAAGATTTTCAACATTTTTACGGAATATCAACTCATAGGTGTTTAGTTTAGGTGAAGTATCTGTCATATACAAACTACACTGTGATTAATATTAAATTAGTCACATGAGTGAATTTATTACGAAGACATTTGAAAAAACATCCATTTTATTTATAAAAAATATTTATATCAAAATAAAAAACTCATCATAGGAAGTTAATACTTTAGAAATTTGATCCAATGTTAACAACATCAATGACACTGGTTTAAGCTCATTGGATTTAGCCAAGCCAAGTTATGCTTCAAAATAATAAGCTAGTTTAATTATTCATTCGACTTGAAGAGAACATTTTTCAAGTAATCGTACTTTCTTCTGGTTTAAAAAGATATTTGAAAAAAAAAAATTAAATGATAGATATAACTGTATATATTTTGTTTTAGCCTGATATTTCATTGTGAAATGCTAACATAATATTTAAATTTTTAAGTTGTTATAAAAAAAAAAAAAAAAAACCTGTACCACTACAACCCATAAAGAGTCTAGAGTTCAGTACTATTTAGGGAAAGCACTGTTTCTAGGTCAACGGTTGTGCAAGGAGGTGATTTGACCGAGATCACGCTCAACCGCCAGGTTTTCCCCCTTAATTAATTATTTAATTAAGGGTACCCACTTTATAGAGGCTGGGTGTGCCCCAGGAGGGTCTTCCGATCCAGGGTCGCCCCACGGCCAATGAAACAGATAAATCAATTTTCTGCAATGAGACGGGGTTTGAACCTGGGACCTTTGCATTAGATGCTCAGTGCCCTACCACTGAGCTACCCCACTCCCTTTAAGTTGTTACAACAAAGAAATAATTTTATGAATGGCATTAACTTCCTAATTAAGATTTTGTGAGACATTCCAAAAGGCCATTCGGTTAGACCATAATCAAATTACCATATACATAAAGTAAAATTTCTATTTTATAAAATGAATAATAAGTAAGCTTTATTATATTTTAGGCTTACATAGTTATTTGTAAAATAATGTAACACATTTCTTTTACAAAAATACTATAGCTAATATGAGAAACCAATTTTATTCAAATAGAACTTTCCTGTATTAGCTCCTTTAATTGATTTTAATTAAGTATTGCACTGTTGGTAACTAAAGTTTAGAGACTAACCAAACAGGTCATCACAAAAACAACCTATGAGCAATGTAAACATATGATAGTGATGATATAAACAGGCGAAGTACACTGTATTATAACTATGATGCACACATATGTAACTAAGTTACTAACAATGGTGAAAGGACTGATAAGAGAGACAGCGATAGTAGAGATAACCTACTGTTTGGATGGAAACAGGTTGAGGATGGCGGCACATATCCTCTGAGGATTGGTTTCGGTCGGGTAGAGCTGCATCGCTGTAGTAACCTGCTCCTCAGGGAAAATATTTGCTAGGTGATAGTGAAGCCTGCGGCGGGCTTCGTCGGTCGACAGCTGTGGGTCTGACGCTGAACACGGAGGCCTTGTCCTTGGTAGGCCCGTGTGTGGACCCGGAGCCGAACTGATTCGAGCGACGCTAGTGTGCTGCTGATGCGCCGCTGCACCTGCGATGTAGCCTGCGGTATCTGCGCTCAAGATCCTGCTAACTCCTTGGTGCTTCCACAGCCGAGGGTCCCCTCCTGGGTTCAGGGTAAGCTGCCGCTGTAGTTTCTTGTGCAGGTTTTGCCCAGCAGCAAATGGTGGCGGTTCTACAGGGCAATCACTGCTACTAGTAGCAACTGATTTTGTTCTTGAAAGTGGTGCTTTTCTGATTGACTTATCTTCACTGTTCTGCAATGGTAAACTTAGAGATTTTCCTTTCAATTGTTTACCTGTAAAATTAAAAACAAAACAAAAAATAATATGACATATTTAAATGTACAAAATTAAAATTTATTTCTGAGTCAATGAATTTATAAGGTTTCATGTCCATAAGATGAGTAAGATCTGACAAGTCACAGTACGACAAAGAGTTAGGGAAAAAGTCCTAGATTTTCATAGGGCAAGGCATGACAGAAATAGACTCTTGCACATTTTTTTTTTTCAATTACTCTACTTTGCTATTTCTGGCTTAGGGAAGGTAGGGAGGGAGAAGGTTTGTCTTATAGTATAATATTTGAGTAAAATAGACATACTGTGAGTTAATAAGCGTTGGCCTATGCGTATGTTAAAACACAAATAAGCAGAAAACTTAGTACGGATGTACGGAGAGGGAAGGGCTTTCAAGCTGAAGCTCACCGCCAAAATGGTAAAATATATCCATGTCTTACGAAAATAATGATCTTTAAAAAGTATTATAGTTGTGGTTAATTACATTTAATAGGACTCAAAGAATCACTTAAACACCATTTCTTATAAGTAGTTAGTTTCTTTCTTTTTCTTCTAAAGTGATTATCGTTATATATATAGAAGAAAAAAACTTTTGGGCTGAAGCCCTCCAAAATTAATTCATCGCTCTGCTAATGGCAGAAATCAATTATTTATCAAAGAATGTTAGTAATAGGAACATTCAGTCCTAAAGTGATAAATTTCTAAATACTTCAATTTGAGACACTCAATGTTTTTATGCTAATAGTTTCTCTGAATAGTCACTGTTATATGTGTACTTCATCTCTCTGTGTATTTTTTTAAAATGCTTATTGAAGCCATCTGAAAATGGGAGAAGGTTTGTCCTATAGATACATCCAAACCTATTCTCACCAGAGTGGGAAGGTCGAGACTCATTCTGTGGGTCTGCCACAAAATACAGCAAAGGCTAGATTCGAACCAGCACTGTATGCTAAAGTGGGCAATGCTCTAAAACTCTTGGCCTCAACTTTAGCACATTGTTGCTGTTTTTCACATCTGGTGGACATGAATTGTTATTTATCCTTTATATGTCTGATTTAGATGATCTTTCTTTAATTTTGTAGAGTAATGACACCAAATTAATCTACAAGGCACAGAATCAAAAATTGAACAAAAGTGTTTCAGAGATGAAGCCATGGTTAAAGACTAAGAGGTATTCTGACATCGACTAGAATGGTAATTTAATCAATGATCACGATGCGATCATGAACACTTTTAAACAAATAAAGAATTAAAATTAGAATGAACTTGAAAAAGAGCAAATTAGTTACTAGCAATTCCTCAGTATAAATGGAACAGCTAAAAAATTATTTAAAAAAATAAAAATTTAAATAACGATTTGTATTTGAAGTTATTAGTTGTTTTACTAAATTTCCATTACAAATTAAGATTTGTTATAAATTATTATAACTCATGTAATTATTGAATAGTTATGAACAGACAAAAAAAAAAAAAAAAAAAAACAACTGAAATTTGCTGAGTTTATTATTAATTGTGTGTACTGGAGGAAGAATTTTTGAAATAAATAACATAAAAGTGTTCTTTAAGATATCATGTACATTGCTTACCAGGACTAGAATCAACAGCTCTGGCTTGAAGCTGCCGTTGTGCGTTCTCGACTAGTCTTTCAGTAATAGTTTTATGAGGGAGGGTACCTCTTTCGGGATGCTGAAATTTACACTTAGCCCCGTAGGTACACTTCTTTCCGTAAGGGCAAGGTGGAGCTGGTTCACTACGCCTTACTCGCAGAAAGTTGTCTAAAGTTGGTCCACTACGTCCCAGAGGGTCATCTGGAGGCATGAATCTAAAACGACAAATTAGTCACATTAAAATCTTTATATTATAATGAAAGCAAGAAGTAAAGTTATCTATAAAAGCATTGAAGTCTGTACATACAACCAACTAAATTAAATTGTTTGCCAAAATTTCACTGATAACCATGGTCTAAATAGACTTTTAACTTTTTTAGTTTGAAATGAAAGTTATTGAAAACTGTTTTCATCTAAAAAAAAAAAATAGTTTTGTAAACCTTACCTATCATTTACAAAGGAGTACATAAGAATCCTTTCTTCAACAACTTTCCGAAACTCAGGGCTTTCCTGAGCAAGATCTCTGTAGTTGTCGTTTGATACAACTATGCCACCATTAGCAGTGGCAAGTCGCAGAATATATCGATCATCATAGCACACCAGTCTTTTTCCAAAGATTAATCTCGAAGGAGTGAATACCAAGAGCCTTTCTCTCTCGAGTTCACCGAGGATTTCTTGATCTGAAAAAAAAATTATATTGATTTTTATGACTATATAGAAAATGAATCAGGATATTACAGGAACTTTATTAGACAAAACAGGCAAATATGCATTTATATTAAATATTTTGTTGGTTGGTGATGTGCACTTTTTGGCACATAAAAATATATATATGCCAAGAAATTTCAGATAAATCCAAATTAACTTACCAGTGATAGGATTATCAGGCCTGGAAGCTTCTTTCCTCCATCTAGGCACAAAGACGGTAATTTCTTTATGACCCCTAGCTCTGAACCAGTCGACGCATATTTTTATTCCTCGACATGAGAAAACTTCTTTGTTTCCGTGGCTACAAAAAAAAAAAAAAAGTAAACTATCAGAAATATCTGAAGAAGTACATTTTAAAGACTAATAAAATTACTATTACATTAAAGTAGTACTCCAATGACACACCATAAATAATAAATTATTGACGATTATTGATAAAGTACCTCATAGCTACATTACTGCCATCGATTACGACAGGTCGAAGTTTGGTCTCGTCATGGAGAGTGGGTTCGTATGCCACAGGTTCTTCTTCCTCCCAATCACAACTTCCATCGCTGCCTAATCCTTGGCCTTGAGCACCAATCTTTATAAGTTCCTAGAACAAAAAATCGTATTTATAAATATTAAAGGAAGAAATAAAACATTTACCTATTACTTTATATCCTAAACATAAACACTGGAATTACAAACCGATTAAAATTATTGGTTTCATCACTTTATAAGAAAATTTCTACTTTGTTTCATTTTTAAAAATTCATTTTGAAGTTTAAATCAATGGAGATGCAATGTCTATATAGATATTTCTCAAATTCGTTTTAATCATCAAAGGTAATGAAAATAATTTATAAATTGAGTCATTACTATAATAAAAGTTTATAAAGTAGAATAATTTCTTTCCTTTTTTTTGACAAAGACTTAAACAGATATTTATATTTTATTTTATTGTCTTTACAAGTCTATTATTTTTCTTTCATTATTTACAAGTCTTTCATATGATAGTACAAGTCCAATTGAGGGGATATTTATTTTTTTCTAAACACAAAAATTATATTAAATAATAACATGAAAATAGTTATATTTGGTTTATTAGAAATATTTAACAATAAATAATAATATATTTTATATGTTTATTGTTTTATAAATTACATGTTTTGTTTAAAATAATTTGCTTATACTATTAGACCAACATGTAAAAAAAATAATAACGTATTTTTTTAAATGAGACGAGTTACATTATAGGGGTGTACATATGGTTGATGGGCAAAGAAACTTAAATAAACAAAAATAAAATGTATTCAGTAAAAAGGACATACCTAATAACGAATTAGAAAAAAAAATTATAATCAAAACAAACTTATTATTTTATTCATAGTATTAAATATAACCTTTTTCATATCTTGTCCCTTTCCTAATAAATTACCATACAGTTTGATGTGCGATTATTCTATGAGAGGCTATTTAAAATATTGATAGGTAATATTTATCAAAATAGGAGGAGGTACTACTGGGCAGTGCTGGCCTTAGGGCAGGGTAACCTGGGCATACACCCATGACGTTTATAAAAAATTTACAATGCATAAGAGAACAATTAATTTTAGCATATTAATATAACAACTGGAGTAGAGACATATTGGATGAAATACTTCTCTTTTCCTTTAACTTCCTTTAGTGCCTTTCAGGACTGAGTTAATCCAACCCAGAATCTCCATCTATATCTGTCTCTCAGAAAAGTCATCATCTTCTATAACGTCTTTCCTCTCGTTTGAACTAACTTGGAAGTATAGCTAAGTCTTCTTCTATGTCTAGTAACTACTGGTCTCACCTTCATAAATTTATGAGGATCTCGATCAGTGATCATTCTACATACATATACATCTCCCAAATGTCTCTCATTTAATGTAGGAATATTCGTTTATGGTTTCATTCCTGACTCTAGATCTGTTTTCGAAGCCACTCTACACAAATATTTCATCTATGTTCCATAAAACAGAACAGGCTAATATAATACTTTGAAAATGTGGAGCTTGACATCTTAAGAAATTGAAACTTTATTAAATAAATCGCATGCAACTGTGCAGTACATATTAAATAGACACAGCGAATTAAAATCGTTGGAGAAGGTCTTGTTCAGTCCGACCAAGCAAATTGGATACAATTTATAGAGGACCAGTCTGAACCAGATGCCAGATTAGTGATCAAGCATGAACTAGTTATCATGGTCTATAGTATATATTTTTAACAATGTTAAAGAACAACTAACTGTATGGAAACTTTTTTGAGGCAGTTTATATAATCGAAATAGAAGTAACTTGTAATTGAAATTATGGTTTTCGGTCCATCTTTACAAAAGTCAGGAAGGAAAATATAGAATCCATTACCTCAAGCAGTTGGTTCTGGTCGGGTGTTGGTCCAAGCTTAGCCAACGCAGCCTGGACCTGCCGCTCGGTGTAACCCAGCTTGAGGGCGAACTCCAGCCTCGTCGTGTAGTTCGTGTCTGCCGTGACGTACTCTGCGAACTCAGCGCCGAGGGTGTCCGAAGTCGTCCTGGAGACTTCAGCGTGCCTCGCGTCGTCTCCGTCATAATGAGTCGTGTCGTCTGAGTCATAGCTGCTGTCTTCACCGCCGCAGGCTTCTCGTGTCTCCGTCGGCAGCCAGTCTACGTACCTCTGCAACAAGACAACAAAATACACATAACAAAAGTATCAATTTGATTAAGTAAGGTATAAAACTATAACGGGAAAACGTTAAAGAGTAACTAAGTATCTGTTTCAGTTACTGGATAACTGCTATTGATGAGAAACAGGTATTCTAATCAAATTACACAAGTAGTTAAGAAGGTATTGTTATAAATAATTAGCGTTTTGTTTACATCGTCCCAATTTAACATTGTACAATGTTTGGAATGTATTTTTTTTTTAAACATTTGAAACAAACTCCTATATCATATTTAAATTTAATCGAGACTTCTTCATAAGTCGAGTATAGTTAAAGATCTTTAACAATATGAAAAATGAAAGAACAATATTGTTAGATGTATAACTCTTCGGATTCTGAATACTGTTAAATTGTGTTACGAAAGCTGACCATTACCTCATGCATAAAAACGACGAAACGTCACGGAAGATTCCATACAACTCGTAGTCCTTTTCGGTATTTTGTCTCATACTTAAGCGTTTACTCTGAAAAAATGTTTTGTAAACAACAAAAACATGGAAACAGAAAACGACTTCTTCGTGACTGATTATTTATCGGGAACTCCGGGAGTAAGGGGTTTCCCCTGAGAGGGTGTGACTTACAAAAAAACTGTTAAGAGAGTTTCAGGAAAAAAACTGACCACCTGTTCGACTTAAATAGTAAACAGGATTAATTAATTCTTCCACTGAGGAAATGCAAGAAAGCTTCGTCGTTAATTAGAAGTTTCGAGATGTCAAAGGTAAATCATTTGAACATAAAAACGCAGCAAATTATTAAATTATTACAATGTAGTTTATTATTGCCGAACAATTCAACATAAAAATGAACATTAATTCCCATGTAACATTAAGGGAAATAAATAAAGCCTATATAATTTTATTTTTTATCATTGATAATTTGCTTTAAAAAATCAACAACATTGCTACACAGTTGATGTAAAACTTTCGAAAAATTAAAAGCCAAATTAAAAGATTTAAGCTTTGCAATAGAGCGTATAAAACATATTCAGAACACCAAATTGTCTGATTTCAACGATTGTTTAGTAAAAAACGAAAGCTTTTAATTAACAACCATAATTTTTTTCATTTCGATGAAGTACATTATATCGACAAATTTAAACGTCATCGAGGAGAAGAGTTCAGCCAATTTTCATGGAACTTAGGCGCTACAGTCTATACCAACACAGGTTTGTCGGCCATCATCTTGGAAGAAAAGGGCGAATAGAAATGCCGAGGTAGGAGGATCATCCTCGATTGACTTCTGACTTTGATTCCAAAATTAAAAAAAAAAAATCGGTCCAGTAGTCTTGGGGAAAGCCGCGGACGGCGGGCGGACAAACAATTTTTTATTCTATGTATCATGAAACGTAAAACCTCAAATTTTGAGGGAGGTAGGGGAGTTAAATTTTTTGGAGAGTTACAATGGATCATTATTGAAAATAATAAACACAAAGTGATAAAATTGATACAATATCAATAAGAATGATGAAGTAATTTTTGGAGGAGGGTTTTTTAAAAATAACGGACTGAAATTTTTAACTATCACTTTTAGAATCAGAGAAACTTAAATTAAGTGAGTTATACATAATTTTATACCTCCATCTTATGTCATCAATTGTAAAAAAAAAAAAGTATTTGTTATAGTATAGATAAAAGAATATTCTATTATCTTGTAACTTTCATGAACCTTTCGCAATTGCGTAACATACGCGTTATTCTCTGCAAGTATAACTAAGTTGGAATCGCAAGCAACCCAGCATACTAAGTTTTAGACCTTACATCATTCTTACATAATCATAAGGAAATACTTAGCATGCAGTATTGAAGTGTTGAGAACTTCCATATGAGAATCGATTAAGTAATTATAAGAAGAGAAAATATTATTGGGCTATGGAAAAGTGTTAATAGAAAATAAAAACAGTCTTATGTGTAATGCAAATTGGGATAAACATTTTGATTGAGTTCATGTCTTTAGAAGGCATTTGTTTGGATCACCAAATAGTACTGCCATTGTTTTGGTTTTTTTAGGAATCTTGACTTAATAATTTTCGACACTTGAGAACAAATTATCGTTCTGAAGGGGGAAGTATTTTTATAAAGATCGTATATAGTATAGTATAATATTTGAGTAAAATAGATATAATGTGATTGAATAAGCGATGGCCTATGCGTATGTTAAACACAAATAAGCAGAAAACACAGGAGGATTTATGGAGGGAGGGACATTCGAGCTGAAGCTCCCCACCAAAATGGTAAAATATATCCATGTCTTACGAAAATAATGATGTCTAAAAAGTATTATAGTTGTAGTTAATTACATTTGATAGGACTTAGAGAATCATTTAAACACCATTTCTTATAAGTAGTCAGTTTCTTTCTTTTTCTTCTAAAGTGATTATCTATATATAGAAAAAAAAAACTTTTGGGCTGAAGCCCTCCAAAATTAATTCATCGCTCTGCTAATGGCAGAAATCAATTATTTATCAAAGAAGAGTTAGTAATAGGAACATTCAGTCCTAAAGTGATAAAGTTTCTAAATACACTCGCTGTTACATGTGTACTTCAGATCTCTTATGTGTTTTTATTATCTTTTTTTATGCTTATTGAAACCTCCTGAAAATGGCTACAAATTGAAATATTCATTCAAAATAGTTGAGTATCACAAATTATCATTAAAAGCTAATCTAGCTCAAACCCTGTGCCTTCTTAATAGAGACCAAATAAGACATATAGTTGAAGTATTGCCAACTTACAGATATGGCTAATAAGAAATTGTACGTGGCAGTTGGGACTTCCGTGACGCGTAGAGAAACCGGACACGCGACACGTTTCGATTGTTCTCAGCGACGACTTTCTACTCTCCTTTCGCGGCTGTTAACCATCGCTCTCATTATCATTGCGTAATCAGTTTAAGGAAGTCGATGTATTAAGGGCATAGTAGAGTAAATTGATTAATACAGTATTAGTGATATATTTGATCAAGTACATAATACGGAGAATCTAGAGTTAAGTTTAAATATAGCAAATCGGCAATACGAAAGTGCAGTTAGGTGTGAAACTACTGGAGTGAAAAATTAAGGAATTCTTTCCTTATTGGAATTAGGATGTTGACGTAAAGGCTTTCTGACGTGAGGTAGAAATTTTTGAAAGGAATTTTGAAGAAAAGCGTTGGTTCGTATATAAATGTGAACAGAATACACACGACTTAATGAAGTGCGAAGCCATATGAAATGCCTGATTACAACTAAAAATAACTTCCAGTTGATTGAACCATTTATCAAAATTAAGAGATAATTCGCAAGATGTCAAGCGGGGACCAGATATAGGTTAAGACAAAGAAACAAATGGAAAAAAAAATAGACCTTGATTCTGCGACAGGTTGTGTGTCAGCTGTTACAGGATCTGCCCACGTACGCTATCATTACAGGCAGTGCCTCTCCATCAGCTGGGATATTTGGAGGTTGAGAAGGAAGGCTATCGAAAGCTTCGATGAAAACCATCGATAGTAAAGATGTTTTATCGATACATTAAAGTCTCAGTATGCCATTCGCTAACCGGGGATTTATGCCACCGCTGAGTCCACTTACCGCTTAAGACAACATGCGCGTTATCGTATCGGCAAACTACATCCTGAAAAACAGTTGCGCATCGAATTAAAAATAATCACTTGCCATTTCCTCAATTAGATTTCAGCGCGTCAATAGAAAGATAATACCTGCCAGTTAGACACTCCTTAATACGTCGTATATTGATTAAGATTGACGGATTTTTTTTTTGTTGGGTGGATAAATATTACTAAATGAATAGATGATATGACAATATCTAATTTTATCATTTAATTAAACTTTTTGACTTATATACAATTCTTCAAGCGAAAAAGTATTTGAATTCTTCTTCATAAAACCTATGATTCTGGAAGGAAATGGACTTATCAGTTAGCATCACTCTTCTAATCATTTAGCATTGGGTTGCCAGTTTTCCAGACTAGAAAGAGAAGAGGTAAGATGTCCATTGTTGGCTAAATGGTCAGAGTAGAACTTTAATTTTGATCCATAGAGTTCTTAAATGACCAACAATCGGTATCTCAACTCGGCTCATACTTAAACATCAAAGTACAACTTATCCTCTATTTACAATTTTATAGTTAGTTTATTGGGGCTCTACAAAAACATCAAATTCTTTCCGTAGCCAATCCTTACAATCCAAAATCCTATTATTATGTAACAAATAAAATTATCCGTAAAGACCTCAACATTCCTCTTGTGGAAGACTTGACCCAAACTAGAGATATCTCTTTTAATTCCAAACTCATTGGTCAACCCAATCCTCCAATTCGTAATCTTTCATCCAATAAAATTCCTGACAACCCTTCGAGGCTTCTGAAAAGAAAATGACCAAGGGACCTCATAAATTAATTTATCTTTGAAGTGTTACGGATGGGTAGCTTGTTCACAAGTACCTTCATGTTATATATTTCTATAGCAGATTTACTGGTTGTATATATGTTTACAGTTTTAAATTTCATTAAAATAATATTTTAAGAAAAGTTAGTTTATTAATAATTGAATTGTTATTGCATTCTTGAATTAAATTTCGCATAATCCATGACTCTGGAGATGACCAGACCAATATGTTTTTAACGTGCTTCGAGGTATTCCAAATTCTTCACCTTCTCATGTACGTTAAACCGAGTTTACACATTTAAAAAAATTCAGAAACACAAACAGACAAAAATAAAAATGGTGGATGTTGGGAATCGCATTTGCAGTATTTATTGTAATTTTTAAACAAAACTAAAGAAACGGATCGCAGATGGATCGGCCACAGAAGGACAAAAACACCACCCTAGGGAAACACACCATTTACATATTCATAGTTTATGAAATTTGTTAATGTTCACAACTATATGACCCATTTTATCTATTTATTTTTGTCAGAATAGGTATTACATATTGGTTTCGATTATTTGTTTC